CAATGTACTTTCAAAATTCTTCTGGTAGAATTTTCTTGATCTTTGTGTTCTGATCATCTTTCCATACTTGCAGCTGTATTGAGTTGTTAAGATTCTTTGTGACTTGATCTGCTGTTTCATTATGATTTGGGTTATTATGGATTTCTTCTTTTATCTCAATTGATCATTCTTCTTGCAGTATCTTTCTGTTGACTTGACTTATCATGACCAATGTCTCACTCAAGTCATTTCTGAGTGTGGGTCTCCAATCATGACATTCTGATTTGAGAGAGCATTCACAGTTTGTCAGTCTAACTTTTTCTTCTCATCAGTCAATGTCTGAATTGTGCTGTTTTAATCAAGAGTATCTCAAGACTATATCATAGTCTTCTAGATTTATCACTTTGAAATGCACTCTTTTTCTGTATTCTTGTATTTTCATTCTGATAGAGTATGTTTCTTCTTCAACTCTATTCAGAGTTTTTTCTTTCAGTTCTGCCAACTGATAGAGATGTTTCTTTACTCACTTCATGATGTCAGCTTGTTTGATGAATTCTCTGTCAATGAATAATCCAGTCACTTCTGAGTCCACTAAGACCTTTGCATGTGTTGATTCAAATAAGATTGCTGTAATTCTGAGATGACAGGTTTGTCTGTTGGTGGCTAACAGTTTTACTTGTCTTCTTACACTGCTTATAGACTCTCATTTGTGACAGCTCACTTGTTTTCTGATTTAACAAGAGTTGTCTTGAGTGTCTGTTTGTGTATCTTGCAATTCTCTAAGTGGGACATTATATCCTGTGCATTCTTCTTAGACTTTCAATATCTCTGCGTTCTGCACATTCTTCACATTCTTGGAGTTCATGTAGTGATCTTGTGGCTTTCCACTGGTCCTTGCTGGGATGGTAATCACATTGGCATTCATATTTCAGTTTGTCATGATATGAATGATGTGAATTGTTCACTTCTTTTTGTTTCTCATTCCAATGCCTTTCACATGTTTGTATCAATAATGTTCCATTTTCTTTGCAGATTGTTCAGTGTAGTTGTTCTTCTTGAATCTGTAACATTCTTGCAGTTGGACATTTCTCTCCTTCAAGTGTCATGCTTTCCATGAGACTTAGTTGCTTCATGACATTCTCTTCATGTTCTTCAAATTCAAGTATTTTCCAACTAGATTCTTCTTCTTTCTGAGTTGCTCTCAATTTCTTTGATGGTCTCAGATAGTATCTCTTGTCTTTTTCATTCTTATGAATTAAGCATTCATCTTCATAGCACAAGCTTCAGTGAATCCTAACATGTTCTGAATGCTCTATGTTTAATATATTCTGAGAGTCTGACATTTCTTCTTCACTTTCTTCAGTGTCACATCTGCAATGCTGACAGTCTTTAATGTCACATCTGTAGTCTCTGTAATACATGAAGTCTTCTGTAATTCATGTCCATTGCATGAACTCTTCTTGTTGTTTCTGATGAAGTTAACATGAACAACTGTAGATCAGATAGTTTGCATGTTTCTTATAAGTTAAATTTCAAATCTCATCCATCTTCAAGTTGTAGTGATAGTTGCACTTCAATAGTCAGATTCTCCAATCATCACTTGATTTCTTTCTTTTAATCACACACAGTTCCTCACACAATTCCCATTTGTTGCTTTTTAGTTCATTCTGACACTTGCTTTCATTCTCTGATTGTCTTGGTAGTGCTTGATAGGTCTTCATGATGTGCTCTTCAAATGTTTCATGAAACTGTTGTTGTAATTCTTCATCTGTTGATTTCTCTTGAACTGTTGCTCAGAGATAATGTTTTGATTTCTTGGGGTTCTCTTCATTTTCTTGTAAGATAGCTCTGAGTTCTTTTTCTTTGTATTTGACTTTCTTTATTCAACATTGCTTTACTTAATGTTCTGATTTATCACAATAGAAATATAATTTGTCTTTCTTTCTCCATTCTTTTTCTTTTTTGTCAAGAATATTCTGTCTGATTGCATTCAATTTCATAGACATAGATCTGTAAGAGTCTGCTTGAGATGCTTTATTTCATTCTTTGTGGTTCATCAAGCTGAGTTTCTTCCATGATATCTTTTCTTGTTTCTCCATCTTTTGTTTGTAGAGTTGGTTTTCAATTCTAACTGCCACTTCAATCATTTCAGTCAGATTTCATGGTCATTTCTCCATGCATGCAATCTTGTCTTTAATGTCATTGAATAGTTCTTGATAGAACATATCAGCTAGAGTCTCATCATCCCAATCTGTGTTGACACATACTTGTTGAAATCTCATAGCATATTCTTGTAATAATGTTTTCTGCCACATGTTCTGTAACTGTTGTGTTGCTGCATTTCATTCTTCAACTTCTCTGAAAGTGGTTTTAAGTGTTTTAATAAAGGTTTTGTAATGGTCAATGACTCTGAGCATGTTGTCATTCTGGTTGACTTCTCTTTTCTCATAGTAGTTTTGTAAATAGATGTCAAATCAATTGAATGCTGCTTCCTGGAGGTATGATGCTGCCACCATTACTTTTTCTTTATTGTTTTTGAATCCTTTTCCCTTCATGTTCATATAGATTTGTAGTTGTCCTAAAAACACTTGTAACTTTCCTCATTCACCTTTAAACAGCTCTGGTGGGTTGACTTTCATCTTGCTTTTGGTGTTAGAAATTGCTATGATCTGAGTCTTGATCTGCTTGTTGTGGTTCTTTAGCTCAAGATTTTATCAAGTCAAGATTTCTATCATCTGTTCAAGTTGTGTAATCTTTTCCATCATTTCTCATGCACTGTTTGAGGTTTCAGTTGTAGACATGATTTCTATATTTCATTAGACTTCTTAATGAGTGGGATTCATATCTTTATTTCTTTTTCACTTGTGATGCAACATTCTTTCTTTGCACTTAAGCTCTGAGGTCTCAGGTGTATCCTCTTCTGAGTCAGAGGTGATCAATGTGTTATCAAACTTATTGTTCAACATAACAAATTGAAGCTTTAGTAATCATTACTTCAATGGTGCTTGATCTTGAGTTGGCAGACTTGTTTAATGGCAAAGAGTTTTCATACAGATGTGTCAGAGTTGAATCAAGACTGTTGTGTCTTCTCAAGAGTAGCAAGAGCAGATACAATTGTACAGTATCACAGAACTTCAATAGTATGAAAAGTAATCAAGATATGATAGTATCTGTATAGATAAAATTATAGAGAGAATAGTAAGAGAGAAGATTGATCACAATGAATGAATTCATCTAATCAATGATAAAGAGTGTTCTTATATACATGATGAATATTGTGAATAATTCAAGTAGTCTCTCCTATTCTTCTGTCCACTAGTTGAGATAGTCATAACTATCCTGACTATTCAGCTATCTGCCAGTTGAGATAGTTGCTACTATTCTGACTATTCAGTCACATAACTTTCATCTTTTCAGATCCTAGTTATTCCAGCCTGTAACTCTCATAGTCTCATCATGCTCCACTTTCTGATTGCATCCTCCATATACTCTTCCAATGGTGTGTGATGATTCTGTGCTGTGCTGCAAGGTTTATAACATGTGGGCAACTTACAATCATCTATTTGCTCATTTGGAAAATGAGGAGATGACAACAAAGCATTGAGATAATGTGAGTGAGACTATAACTGCAGCCAGATGCAAGTTCCAGAAGTGCTATGAAGATACAGAGTATCTTAAAGATGAGCTGCTGACAGTAGCTGCTGTTCTTCATTCAATTCATCATATGAGAGCATATGATTTAGAGGACTGGGAGAAGAAAGAGCATGAAAGATATTAGCAGCACATTTTCACATATTATATGAAGCATTATCAACAATATGAGAAACTAAGAGAGGTGGCAGCAGCTGATGATGAGGTGTGTTATTACTCAAATAATAATTACTCTATAAGCTATACTGATGCTACTGTTAGAATATTGAGAATATTCTGTTCAAGCAGTCATATTGGAGTCAAGTCAATTCTCAGAATGAGATGAAGCAGTATCTCAATAATAAGAATCTGATGACTAGTTCAATGTTTCTGTTGAAACAGTGGCAGAATCTGGAGTCTGTCTTCTCAACTGTGGCTTGTATAGTGAGAGACATTCTGGCCATATTATTAACAGGTGTGGGTGTGGAATGAGTCTTCAACACTGTGTGAGATATCTGTTATTATCAACAGTCATGACTCCATGAGTCCACCATTAAGAAGATCATGTTGCTTAAACATAAGAATAAGAAGCACATGTTTGATGAAGTTCTAGTCTCAGAGAAGAAACTGACAAAGAAGATTGATGAACTGAAGAATGAAATAGTAGAATTTCTCAAGACTGAGGCTGGGGGTGGATTAATAAGAGATGAGAAGAGGCAATTGACTTGCTTGTTGAAATAGTGAATATAGTAGTGTAATTAAAATAAATTACTCAATTTACTTTCTTCAATTGCTCAAATGGTCTCAAAGATACAAGAACTGTTATTAAATTTCATTACTTTTATCATGTGATCTGTTAAGATCAGAATTCTGATTCCAACACTCTTTATAACTGTTCTCATCTCATCAGCAATATAATGTTCTGTAACCTGTTCCATTGCTAATGTTTGAATGTGGTCTCAGATTTCTTGATGGGACCAGATTTCTGAAACTGTTGAAATCTAAAGAATCAAGTTTCAAGATTCATCTCTTCCAGGCATCATTGAATCATGTTCTGTTTCAGACTTAAGATTTTGACCCAGTCCTGTTCTGAAGAAGAAACATGGGATGGAAAATGAGGGATCAGTTCTGGAATCCCAGTCCCATCAGCTCAGCCTAATGTCAGCATGACAAAATGTGATTTTTGGAAGATATTCCATACTGCTTGAGTTGAATCTGTAACAAAAAAGAACATCAAATCTGCTTTTGAAGTCACTGACATCAACTCTTTGAATCTCAACAGAGTTCTTAAGATCTTCAAAAATCAGTCAAATTTGAACAAACAACAGTCAATTATCTCTCAATTTACTGAACAGTCTATAACCCCTACAACTGTCTGGGGGGTTCAAAGAATGATTAAATCTATACATAAAGAGCAGGCTCATGTTAATCAGCATATTGAGAAGCTTATGCATGCTGTTGAGTATCTTGTTATAGAGAAGGAGATTCTGAAGCATGAGAATAATGCTTTGATTGAATCTTTGGGGATTGAAAAGAGACAACACCAGCATGATAAGATAATGGATCTTTTTGATTCTGAGAAGTCAGAATCTGCTCAATTCTTTTCTTCTACAAAAGTAGCTCAAATTAGGGAGAGAAATGAAGAATTAGAGAAGTAAAAGAAACAAGAGGAGACTCAAAAGAAAGAACAGAGACTTTAAAAAGCTATAGTAAGAGATGTAAAGACTGCAGAAGCTGCTGAGAGGAAGAAATTTCAGAAGAGAGTCTGTAAGAAAGCTCAACAGCTTAAAGCAGTTAAAAAAGCTGAAAAAGCTGCTCAAAGAGATGCTTAAAAACTACAGAGAGAGCTTAAGAAGACTAAAGAAGAAGAAGAGAAGCTTGAAAGAGCTTATAAGAGAGAGAAGATTAAACAACAGAAGAAGAATTGTTAAATTAGAAAGAATGACTTTATGAGAAAGAATTCAGCACAGTCAGAATTTCTCAGAGACTCTCTTATAGATCTAATCTTCATGAAATCAAATCTGGAGAATCCTCTCCAAGCAGATTCAACCCTTCCAGCTTTAAATTCAACAAATGTTATTGCTCTTATTCCAGAAGAGTCAATACTAATCTGATCCCACTCTGGCTGCATTATTAAGTCATTGCAAAGGATTTTGGATAATCTATAGAGATTTATATGTAATATTCAATTGAATCTACTAGCTACTAATATTTTATTTGAATATCTTCCTTCATTGTTGAGATATTGGGGAAGTTGGTTGAGGGTAGGATTTGATTTTGGTGTTTGTTGGGTAGGGATGTTTGTTGGGTGGTGAAATATGTTACAGACAAAATTCTGCGGCCGTGGGTTCGTTAGGTATGCATCCCCTCGGAAATCTGTCCTACCGTCCTTGAGAGGCGGAACTTCTGGCTTCAATCAAGGCTTGCCAATGGTCTGTCGCCCCCTTTTGTTTCTGGAGAATGATATCAGGATATTCCATAGGCCGGGTATCTCCAATCCCAGAGATATTGCAAATCCAACTGAGAATGGAAATGCTCTTAGCAGCTCCCCTCATCGATATATTGGAACCAGGATCCATTCCGGCTTCCCGGTGCCTTGACGTCATGACCTTTTGCACGAGCTTCTCATCTCGTTGAACAAAGAGACAGAATCACATTGTAATTAGCACTCAGCTCTAGGAACTTCGGAACAACAGGGCCACTTGATATCCTCACGGCAATCCCAAGATATGTCGAGCGAACCGCAATGTTTGACCTTCCAGACACCGATGGTAAGATCTAATACTATGCATCGACAGGGCTCCTCTGCACAACCGAGCTTTCCCCAGCAACATCAGCCTGAATTATCCCATCACCAGACCATTACTCAAACCGGAATGTCGCAAGCACAAGGCAAGGGTGGGCCAACAGCCGCAGCCGCGTTCCTGAAAGAATTTAGTCTCGTTGCGGAGGCTGCAAAACGGGCGCAGATGGCTGTTGTGATGAGGGACTTGGAAAGCATTTCCCTATAGAGCAAACAAGCAATATCTTTCCTCAATCAAGCCAGACCTATCTCAATCAGGTCAATCACAACGCTCATGATGTAAGTGGAGTATGTTATCTTCACCCTTCGACCCGAATCCCTTCTCAATCTGACAGCTGATCTAGGGCTTGAGGACCGAAATCATCCTTTTGTTAGTCAGCGTGGATATGGCATGATAACTAGTGGACAAGCCGGATACTACCTTCGGATGCCCTCTGCCACGATTTCTTCATCGTGAGTGTATACAAGCCGAAACCACCCTGGTTGGCTTGAGAGCCCCTCGCCTGGGTGGAGAAATACACCGGCTCCGAGAAGCTTTTCTGCGAGTGCAATTTCACGGTCGGGTTGCGAGACTTGCCCGTGCTCGCAGATAGGAGCAAGAAACGATGATAGATCGATCCATAGGAAGAACCCGGCGTTGCTACTCTTTTATTAGCGCTTTAATGGTGACGGGACTGGGGGCTGGTGCTTTAAAATGTTGTATCACCTTCCCGGTAAATACGGAATGCCGTTCTCGCGAAGCAGTAACGTGGCGAACTTGTACGTCCTAGCCAGCGTTTCCTGACACAGAGACAGATACGATGTCACGAAAGCTCGGTCATTCAGGATTTGAGACGCAATTGCTACTGATACCCCCGACGCCCTGCTAAACCGACTACATAGACCTATGAGCTTCAACATAAGTTACTTTGGACTTTACTTGGCGCCTACCTAGCCGGTCCTACTCCCCGTCGAATTTGCTCGTTTCGGGTGATCAGGAACCCAAGCTTGAGTCCAGGAGCAGAGAAGTCCTTCTTGGTGTCAGCATTTATGACGATATCTATATCTGCATTGTGGGGCATACCTTGGCCATTCCATACGTGACATGGATGTACTTCTCATCCAGCAGTCCAGCCGGATCGATGCTCAATGCTGAGGTGAAAGGAATAGCCCCGGGTTCACCAGAGTCAAATACGGAGAGTGCATATATTTCGTCGCTGATGAAATGAATCTTGCGTTCGTGGCAGAAACTCATCAATTCTCGTATAGTTTCCGGAGGATAGCACCGCCCTATTGACTCAGTCAACCCGGCGTACATCATCGTGACAAGGAGGGAGTCTCAAATGCGGAGTCACGCACCTAATGGATTATGCGGGTTGACTATGATCAGAGCTCTCACTCGCACTCCCTTTTTTTCCTCTCTCAACAGCGCTTCTTCATATTTCTTTGCCACTCCCACCTTGAACGCCTCCAGCGGCTCAGCCTCCGCATACACAGTCTTCACGTCCGCTCTACTGCAAAAGTCGACCTCAAATCGACCGTACGTTGGGCGGTTGACCAGAATAGCATCACCGGGCTCCGCAAGAATGAAGCTCAAGACGTCGTTGAGTGCGGTGACGCCGCCTGCAACCGCAATGTGGGAAGGCAAGACGGGAGCATAAGGCTTGAAATGCATGTTGATATACTCAGACATTGGACCAGTGAGTGTAGGGGAGCACGGGCTGGAGTATGCATATGTGAAAGCACACTTGGGGATGCGTATCTGGTACAGCACCCGGCGTTAGAAGATCCTTTTTTCCTTTTTTTGGGTTCCCGGGGATAGATGGCATGGCATATACATTTCTGTTTACATATTCTTCCAGTGCATCGTGCACCAGGAACTAAATGGTTGCCAACCCCTGTTAGTATTTTAAATTGGAAACCGGAGCAGCCAATGCATAAGACACTCACGTTCTCCGCCGTTCCGAAAGATATGATTCCATTCGGATTCTTCTCCCTGTCGTAAAGTGCACTCTCGCTGGGTGGGAATCTCCACGGCTCACTGACCATCGAGGTGATCTTCGCAGCCCGCCTGGAGACCATCGTTGCCTTCGAGAACTAGAGCTCAGTGATATGTTTCCTTTCAAAGCGGATTGAGTTAGCCAGGCCAGTGAGATGTTGCAGTCATATAGCTGAATCCATGCAACGCAAGCGGGGATCTTCGCCTGTACCCCACGTCTAGTTGATACACGGATCAATTCATTCAGACTGATGGCCAACTCGACAGGAAATGCAGGCAAATCTTCTATGAGCTTTTCTCTAGCTTGTTGTATTTCTATCATTTATGTAATTCTAAAAACTGTGCCCGCTTCCTCTAAGCTCTCGCCAAAGCAGTGCAAAAGTTCAGTCAGTTAGGCACTCTCCCTATCATGCACATCAATCCCAAACACCTTCTCTTCCTCCAAAAGGCCGTCACCCTCCCCTTTGAATCTTTCTCTCTGCCTTTCCACAATGTTACCATCGCCCCCATCATCAGTCACAGGCCCCTGCCTCCTTCTCACCCACCATCTCATCGAAAACCTCCCGTCCACGAAAACACCCTTCTTTACCAGTTCCTTCTCATACCCACCACTCTGCGCCCCGCGGAATGACCTGCGGGTCCCCCAACATCCGAGACCCAGCGAGCAGGCTCGCGACGGCTGCAATGCTGCTTGGGTTCTTGGGCAGGATGTTCTTCGTGGTCATGAGCAATGTGGAAGTAACCGCTAGGATCACCATGCACAGAAGAAACGCGTCGAGAAGACGAGTAGAGACACTGCTTTGGACGAGGTAGTCGCCGTGGCTGATGAGCTCGGCCGGGAAAGTTTTGGGGGAGTTATTTTCGCCATCTGGGGCTGAAGCCGCGCTGTCTGACCCGAACGGTATGTGCCAGTGATCATTAATGCGCTGGACGATGATAATACCATAAATGCGCGTGAGTGCGGCAGAAAGTTTGTCCGTGTCGGATAGTAGTTCTTCTGCGGGAATCCCGCCCGTGCCCCAGATAGCAGCGGTTGTGAGGATATCGGTACGATATTCCTTTCTTGGGGCTTCCACCGCGATGAGGTCGGGGTCAAAGTAACCTCGCTCTGGGAGGAATGGGGTTGGCACCATGCTACCATTTGAATAAGCCATGAAATCATCTAAAGGCGGTCTAGCGGATCCAGGGACAATGGAAGGGGGGTAGTTCGGATTGATCTTCAGAGATCGCGGCTCCAACCGGATGTCAACGTCGACTTCCTGGATTTGTGGGCGGCATTTCAGCATGCGGGTTTTAGCTTGGTTGCCAAACAGATATAATGATGTTGGGCAATCTGCTGGATTCCCTTCAAGGACCACATTTCGGGTCAGAGTGAACCAGTCAGAGAAGTATTTGGGGGCTCCAACCCCATTCTCATGGAGTGAGAACGAGCACGCCCCTCTAGTACTATTAATCTCCACATCCCAACGGGGCAGGTCGTCTTCGTCATCGTAAGACCACGAGAGTTTGTAATCAGATGCCGGAATCTCGCCGTCGCAATTGAGGTTGGGGTGCCAGGCTGGGAGTCGAGCTTGTATGTACCCGGGAGTTACGCTGGATGTGTTACTATCGTCGGTCCTCGGATGAGACAATCTCGGGAACGCCAGGTCTTCAAATGTCCATTGTGGGTATGACATGTTCAGATAGAGAATCCTCCCGGGTGTAAAGTCCTTGGAATTAAGATCTAAATAATCGGAATGGTTAAGGTGCCCTTTGTAGGAACTAACGTTCCAGGTGCTGCGTTGGACCAGGGATATGTCAGTGGGTTTAGGCAAACTGCTTACTGCATAAAGACCGGACACGATGATAGGCAGCGCGCCCGCCAGGAGGAGTGCAACAGCACTGGCCGCCAGCGCCCACTGTCGCTTGCCAATGGAATCCAGGATCGCCCATGCGGTGATTTTGCGCTGTTGGTTTTCTAAAACGCTCGCATTTGCGCGCGCCCTTCCGCGTGCAAGGCAATGGAAAGGCTGAAATGTCCTGACGTTTGCCTCCATCATCTGGTAAAGAACGCGGATGCAAAACATGACAAGGGCCGGGATGTATGCCCAAGGCTGATCCCTTCCGCTCTCTCTTCCTCCCACCCGGACAATTCCTTCTCTGGTGTTCGATATATGGAGCAATGCTTCGATAGTCGCAATAACAGCAATTGGGAGGACAAACGTAAAAATGTAGACCGGTGGCCTTGCGGAAATAGGACGCCACCAGCGGGGTGTGCTATCTGTGCCACTCTCACAAACCTGCACGGGGGATGTCCGCTGGTCATGGACTTCAATCTGGAATTCCTTCTCCGCGTTTATGCGGGTACCATGTTCATACCCGGCCAATAGCTCTTTCATCTCCGAGGGCCATTTTAGATTCATATTCTGAAGAGTGGCCATCAACTTGGGGCTTCGTGCCAAGATAGTTGCAAGGCCGCCAATTGAGCCCGGATCGCGGCAGCAGACAGAGAGCGGGAGGTAAAAGCGGTCGATAACTACGGAGATGAGGATAAGCACTGAAATAAAGCCGGCCATTAGGCCAAATGACAGCCGACGGACAAAGAGGCGGCTTTCCATCCGTGTCGTCGTTCCCTGGGTGTGGCGGTCTACGGGCTGGAGTAATTGATCTCTGGCCACTTGGACCGCCCGAGACTCAAGACCGCGTGCTAGCGCTTGGGACAGGAGCGCTGGATCAAAAAAGGCCTCTCTATCGCCTGACTGACTCCCCAGTAGACTCAAGTCATCACGGCCAGCGTTTAAAAAGGAGACCCATGCACTATACAAAAGGGCACCGGCATTGTTGTCTAGTGTGGGGGGAGGACTCGGAGACAACGGACGCTGTTTCTTCATGTCAATGTCGGTTATGATATTAATGCCGTCGGGACTTGGTGACAACTTCACTGGAGCGCGGGATATGTCAAGGTAGGGTGTACAGAAAGCACAGGTGAACGCGAATTTTCCAGCCTTCTGTTTCGCCTTTTTCCCAAAATCTTTCGTCGCGTTCAGAAACAGACCGTTGGGGTCGTGACGCGAAATATAGACCCAGATGCGCCAGTGTGCCTCCGTATACAGAGGCTCATCTTGGGGAAGATGCAACTGTTTTCCGTCGCATAATGATGGGAAACCTACAAAGGTTGCGTTATCCTCAAAGACAGTATGCTGGGTGAGTGGCTGAGCTAACGGGCCGGTTGAACAAGAGCCAGACTTCATGGACAGAGTACACTCGGTCTGATTTTTAGTGGCCTCCATCGTCGCATTTTCACACCGGACCTTCACGGTGATCACGTCCACCTCGGCCGCGATTTCGCGATTAGCACCCAGAGTAAAGTTACCAGAGCGAAAAGTGCCGCCTTCCTGAAAGGGGGAAAATACATGATTTCCAAGGATTCCAAAGGGCACATCGGAACCATTTAGCGCTATCCCGGTGGCCCTCATGTGCGGGATGGTTGTAACATCTGGAGGCTTGAAACTGTCAAGGCTGAAATCGAAGTCATGGGTAAGGCGGAGAGAAGCGGAGCGCTTGACGGGAACGTCGCGGAGCTCAAAAAAGCTAGTCGATACAACGGCCATTCCATTTACCAGCAGTGTGCCAGCAATGACTAAAGAAACCAGGTAGTGACGCCTCTTGACCGACATATAAAGGGACTCAACGTTCCAAGGAGAGATGTAGTCCAGCAGCAGCCCATCAGATGCGGCGACTGGAGCGCGCGACATCAGCAGCCATGGCATCAATTGGCATGCGCGGTATTCGACCTGGCCCCAAAACGCGCCCAGGACCATAAACACTGTCACGGACGCGATTAGAATCTCAACCTGATACCTGAAAAGGATAGACCTAGAACAGAGAACAAACCTGCAGTCGGTCCATACGTCCAGAGGTAGTAGTATTTCCATCCCTGTGTTTCAATGCCTTGTCTCCCATCGCCGCGAGCCGCATAGCAGTACACGGCAACGATTGCAGCGAGCAAAGCCACGAAAGTAGCAATAAAGGCTAGGAAAGTCGAACGGCGCAGAAAGAAAGGCTGCCATAGACGTGGAAAATCGCCATGCTCACGGGGATCGTTGTCCGTTAACAGGCCGTCAGCGACGTCGTCCGCCGAAGGCCCTGTGTCAGCCGCGCGAGGTTGTGCTGCCATTTTTCCAGGCTCCCTTTGACAGACTTGGGATCAGGGGCTGCTCAAGACGGTGCAAAAATCATCGCACGTTCTCAGGCACAACTTGAACGTCTCCGAGCCAGTCCAGCCAGCCGCACTGGGGGCGCGTTTTGGCAAAAACACGGCTTCGCCCCACTCCATTGCAGCTCTTCGGCCGAAGACCTCAGAATAGATTGTGATAATTAGCAATCCTGCCGTATGAGAATGAGAAGAAACTTCAAGAAGCTGCTGGCGCCTTGGCCCAAACAACGTTGATCCCTGCAAAGGGGATTCACATGCCGGTCATGCTAGGGCTGATCCGGGATGGCTCGAAAGCACATTGACAAGAATCAACAACACAGGACAACTCCGAGTCGAGACCACTTATTATTAGCACTAGTAATTATACTCTCCTTGAATATGGCAGCTGTACTCCGTACAGCGTTTTTAGCGGAGCATTGCCGTCGAGCAAAAGGGGGAATTGTCGATGAAATATAATGGCTTTTCTTTCCAACCACAGTACGGCGTAAGAGTTGCGGAGAAATCACAGCACTCTCCCTGTGAGAAGATGCTTATTTCCCTGGCCGTCACGAGGATCAGCCGTCTCATATCGAGGACGGTTTACGACAAATGTGCAAGGCCCTGAAAAAAGCGTCACGGCGCAGGACATATGGTATCCCTAAACGCATCCACTATGACACAGGTCGACAACACCACAACCATAGCACGGCGACGTCTATGCGACAGCTGGCTGAGCTGGGCCTCCCAGGATATCTGTACAGCTGGATTTGGGAAGGAAATACTGGATTGACCGTGCCCGTGCCGCCAAACTACACAGAGTTGCGGCATTGGTTCCTCGGTAACTACGCAGATCGACTTCTACCGCGCTAGCCGCCCCATAAGAGAAGTCTGACCGCTGTACACGCAAAACTTGAAAGCCAAATGGTTTTTCAGTGATATAATCCATTGCGAATGACCAATGGCAAATGTTTGTCCAAAGTAATGCCGTTCGACATTTCGGCCATTGCGGTGATGGACGCAGCAGGATAGGCTGATCTATAACTATCAGGCCTGTTTAGTGTTTACTAGTTGTGATAGCGTAGTGCTACAAAACTATCCCTTGACATCAACCTTTTTCAAAAAATCTTGGAGGATTTTTACCACGTCCTCTAACGCGGCAATCTCAGTATCCATCGCAGCCTGGACCTTGGCTGCGTCTTGCCCAAGTTTGGCATAGAAGTCTTTTCTATAAGGAGTTGCAGACATGGCTGCACTGAAAATAGGTTTTATGGCCCAGCTATGATGTGGCTTCAGTGTTGTGCCGTATGCAGCGCGGAAGGAGGTGGAGAGTTCGTCATCAGGCTTGGAGAGGTTGTGTCGGAGGGCTTGGGCGGTGAAATCGAGGCCGCTATCAACTGCCAGGTCAGCCAAACACGGGGAAAAGGAAATCTTCCGCCGGCAATGTGTCACAGGCCAGCTCAGGAAAACATACCGAAGTAACCATAGCAGGCCTCCAGAGGCTACGGGCTTCCCAGTTTTCAGCTCGTTAAGAACGAGTTGTTGAAGGGTTTCTGATTCTGCAGGTGCAGCCAGCTGCCGGTCGCGGATTTTCTACCGTGAAAAGGGTTAGAGGTGCCGAATCTCATAAACCGTAGCTGTTCCTTTGGCCAACCTTGATATTTCCAAGCAAATCGTTCTTCACGGGAGTGAACGCTACGGACCCGAGAAGATCTATCCACGGCCTTAGCAAATGAAGGATCTAGAGTACACAGGTGCACTGGGCAGCCACTCACCAAATAGCATCACCAAAGACTCAGCCGCTTCAAGGAACTCGGTTGTCGAAATAGCATTGTCATTCTCTTTGTCGATCGGGACGTTTGCAAAAGACCTCCTCACGGTGTCGAACCAAGTGCCATCAGCGGGGATTACAACAGTTGCAGCCATTGTGCACAGCTTCCGATAACGCAGGCAGCTCGAAAAAGAAAAGATACTTAAATCTAAGGGTCCTGTAGGTCTATCGCTAGTCTGGGAGACGATCTCAGAGGTTCCTGTCTTGAAATTGGCGTCTCGTAGTCCTAAAACAGCAATGCCGGACTGAGGGGTAGCACATGCAAACAGAGCAACATGTGCAAATGCGCCAAACACCGCAAACTGGGCCAACGGTGCAAACAATGCAAACAGTGCCTTTCCTTGACGTCATTGCTACAGACGACACTCCATCACGGCAACAACGACGACGAGTGTCAATGAAAGCCCATCACCAACTCGAATTCTTCCTCCACGGTCGCCGTCCAGCCATGTGCAATGAGTAGAGAGCGGCCTTGCGAACAGCCAGTTCCCACCTGCTGGCGAAACATCCCGCGGGAGGAATACCACGGTTTGGATTCCGAATCATACACCGCACAGAGACTGGTAAGTCTAGAGCCATTGCCTTCCCAGCCATTGTCATTGGTCTCATCTCTCCGTAGCAACATGCCTCCCCGGAGCATCTGCATGTTACTAGTCGCCGCCTATTCATCGGGCCCCTGCCAAAGGGATGGCTGTCGAGCCATCGCAAGTCGTGGTACAAGTCATGGCTTGGGTTAAAGGATTACTCCTCTCGGTCCGCCACGTTTTCTGCGGATATAAATCTGGCCCATCAACGCCAATTGACCGGGCTGCTTGGGCCGTCCACTGCCGCGATGTATAGACAGAGCTTTCCTCAACCGGAAGGTGTCGGGCAACGGCAGGTGGTAGATGAGACCCCCGTCACCGAACCCAGAATCGAACCGACTGCTCTAACGCCCATTGATACTACCCATGAGACGCCGGATCAACATCTCAACGAGCCCGAGCCAGCGCCAGCATCTACCCTAGAATCATATCCAGGGCAACCGTCCTTATCGGATGCAACGCCGATTTCTACCCTGGGTTCACGATCGGGCTTCTCGACCATACCATCCGACCCAGCTTTAAGGCCGTCCTCCTCTAGCCACCTCCCAGATTCGTACTATACTGCGCCCGAATTTCAAGGTGCATCCAGGATATTGAGCTCCTCACCGATTACAGAAGAACCCTTTGACCTGGGCGGCGATGGAATCGACGACCGCATCGAAAACAGGCCTGCAAACATTAGCTGGGAGGAGGCTCCTCCGGACGAACAGGCCTCAACCACGTCTGCTCCGTCTCCGAGCAGAGGCACTCAATCTGGGGCCGATGTCACATCCCAAACATTTCTGTTGCCACATGGAAAAACCTTCAACGGTGAATCCCCATCCCCACGTTCGTCAGGGCATCTTCGCCGCGAGGAACCGTCATTTGTCGAACATGAAGAAACGGGCTCCAAAAGCCGGCGCCAGCGGTTCCTGACCCGTGTTACTTCGGGCATGGTCCGGTTTAATATCGAGGATAGTATTGGTGATCGACAAAGGCGGATACAGAAAAGGCTCTCCAGGACAGAGAGCGAACAAAATTCGGCTACAAAGAGACAGAGAAGAGCAAGTCGCTGGGGCGAAATTGTAAGGGCTGAGCGCATGCTAGTTCGTATCGAAAGCACCACGCAGTCGATTCCCCGCGAATACAACGAGAACGACAGCATCAAAATTGATACGAAGATCATGTCTAAATGGAGAGAGTTCCTCGTTGTATGTCGACAGGGACACGAAGACAATACACCATTTCTGTTACAGTTCTATAAATCGCGGGTCATACCGCAAGTCCAGACTTCTGATATGAAAAGGAAGTGCTCTTACGAAATACCCATCGTGCCCAACCGCACCAAAGTAAACCTCTTCTCGACTCTAGACAAGACGTTGGTTGTCTGGCAGCCGTATAAGCTTGGTACCCAGATCTTCATCATGCGGCCAAGGTCATCGTCGCATTCGGTAGAGTGGTTTACCTTTCTTCGTGGTGCCCTCGGATGGAAACAGCCATCGACATTGTTCGTGCATGTTCCTGATCTCGACATTTCGCTACATTTAGAGAATCCATTCGCACACCTCGGAGAAAATCGCAACGAAGATGATGACGTCTGTACTGCTGTGTTGAGAACAATGAAAGAGGAGCGGGCCATCGCGTCTGGTATCGTCAAAACTTGCTTGACAACGCTTTCTGAATGTTCTGAGTGGAATAAAATCTTGAATATGTGGGCAGGGAAATCCATGAAAATGGGCCTTGCTTGGAGGCGATATGACCGTCTCGAATGGGTGCAGGGCCCAAATGAGCAAAGAATGTACGGAACTATGGCTATGCGAATGACCCATGAACTAGAATTGCGCCCCAAACAGCATTATCCGACCTCGACAAAACCACGGAAGAGTGGACCCAGATTGGAGGAGCCATCACCAGCCGAAGGGTTTTTAATTCTGCTCACATCACAACGAGGAAGACAAAAGCTATTGGGAAAGAATTTTTTCAAAAAGTTGTACTTCTTTACTCAGGACCAATATCTGTGCTTTTGTCGGCCCGCGAGAGCGAACCCTCCAGCACCTCCTAGACTCTCTATAATACCAGGCAGACACATTCCCACTTCTGCTGAGATTAGAAAGGAAGTCCCTATCGTTTACAACGTGGATCCTTTCCCAATTGATGATGATGGAGAAATCGCTTGGCTTAGCGTTGGACGAAAAGAATTCGCCAAAAAGCACGATGCAGAAGCCTTTGCAGAGAATCGGCGAATTGCAAAAAATGCAGCCAATGCGGAGGGCTATATCAATCTTTGTAGAGTGTCAGAGATACGGCCCGTGTCATCGGATAGCATGCAAGAAGAACAACATGCTAACGCAGGAGATGTCGAATACCACGGAGAAAGAGGCAGACCTGCAAACGGCGCTAGGCACGAGACAAAGGATGACCGTTCGTTCGAAATCGTGTTGGAAGATGGCTTGGTTGTCAGATTCCGAAGTTATAATATGCAGACTCGGCAAGAGTGGATTAAACAGCTAACTAAACTCTGGGAGTATTGGAAAGTTCGTACAAAGGAGGACGTTGCTACTCTGAAATACATTCGCCAGCGGAACCTAAAGCGACTCGAGATTGACGAGGCGCAAGAGTCCATGTTAGGACAGTTTGCACAGAAATGGGAAGTTTCCAGGGCTGAAGCATCGCCCGAATTATTTCACACATGCGGAATATCAGGATGTCGAGCTATAAAGGTAACATATACGACATAACTAATCCTCCAAAGCGTTTCACTAACCGTTTTAGATGTCTGGGCCTCTGTATCGCAAGCCCCGCCGCCGTGGAGCTTTCACGAAATGTAGCGTGTTGCTCATTGAAGGGCAACTTCTCATATTTCAAGGGGCGCTCCGAGGATGGACGGGAGAGCAACTTCCCCATACACATCATTTCCGTCAGGGAATTCTTGATCTGCGTGATTGCTACGTGTATAGCGGGATAATCACCTCAGAGGATCTTTTGTATCAGCATCAAACATTCGATAGCAACCTGCCCGGCCAGCATGAACGACCAAGAATGTACACCGGGGATGGGTGGACAAGTTCGGATGAGGACACTGCCACATGCTTCGTTATCTGGCATGCTACAAGAAAGGCGCTTTTTAGAGCCGAGCTCGGAGAAAAGGGGAAAATAAAAAGGAGGCGGTGGAGGCAGGTTTCCGCTTTGGGGGTTCCTGGAAAATCCATCGTGTTCAAGGCTCGGAGTAGAGCAGAGAGAGACCTGTGGGTTTTGGCGATCGCGACAGAAATCGACCGGCTGCAACAGCGGGAGGATTTGAGGATAGTTGAGCCGTCTTGATTTGGCCTGGAATACGGAGTATTGAAGCCAGTGTTATTTTAGTTCTTTGTGCTGTTTGTTTCTCAGCGAAGGTGTTTTGGTAGAGGAGTGAGATACCCCAAGGGTGTGGCGTGCGTCGCGCATTGTCAAATGGATCCATTTCGGATTTGGAGGCCTTTCCCTAGCTGCATTTTTATAGCAATTGATTAAGCACTTTCGAGTCGTCAATTCTATCGTCATGAGGGGATTAGATTGTAGGTAAGAAGGCAATGATACATCCAACCAGAGGGCAACCAGCCACGATAAGATCCATACGCCGGGCGATGCATTATATTTACACGATGTGAGAGGGCCAATGGCTCACGAAACAACAGGCGGCTCGACGGAAATCACCTCCTTTCTCACTCTCATCCGCTGGCTTTTGCCTGTTTGCCCGCCGCTCTCCCACTCTCGCTCACGCGCCGAGATATCAGCCGCGGGGTTATCAATATGGGCGTCGCGATCCCACCACTCCCATTTTAGCATTCTTCTCTTCTCCCAGGGCCAGATCACACCGACGACCCGCCCTGTAATGAGGCTCATGCTAATGGGGCCGTAGGTGTTGCTGTCCAGGCTCTTGGCGGAATCGTTCGCATCGCCTTCGACCCAGACATGGTTGTAGGGGACGAGCTGCGGATGCATTGGGTGCGTATACTCGGGGAACAAGGGGGAGAACGGAGTTGGAGACGCAGGCCGGGGAGTGACTTCGTCGCCGGGCAAGCCAATAATGCGCTTAATGGCCAGGACTTTGGGATCCCGTGGTGATCTAGTTAGGCATGCGCAATATGCAAGATTAGCGCGGGCGCAGAGAAGGTGGTTGGGAAGCAAGAAGCACAAACCGAAACATCACGACCATGCCCCGATGCAGGCCTTTCCAGTTCTCCTCTCCGACTCCGCCCTCTTTTTCTTGGCTGATGCCGGACAACTTGCTCACTACGACTGTCTCCTTGGCCAGGTCCTCGACGCCATAGCTCGCGTTCAGGTACGGCGCCATTGAAGGACCGTTGACGGGATAGGTGGAAACGACATGTTCGCGGAATACAATCACGATGGGGGTCACCGGGATCAGCGTCAGCAAGAAAGCCCTGGCAAAAGCGAAGAACGGAGATTGTGGTCGGGACTTGGATCCCGAGTTTGCGTGTGTTTCTGGTCTGGCTGAGCGGCTTCTTGGAGTCGACGAGCTGGCTTTGGGGATAAACTGGCTGGGGTGTTTGAGGATTGGATCCGTAGAGCCTGTGTTGGACCGTAGACGGCTGGAAGAGGTCGAGAACTGGCAGAAGCGCAATCTAGCTCGAAAGCTCGATTGAGAAAATCGGGGAGTCTGGAGAAGAGTCCTGCATGGGAAAGACATGAGCAAAGGGCAGAGGACGGCGACGTGATGCTGACGCTAGGTGAGCGACCTGGGGCGTGTAGCGGGACTCGATTTCATAACACGAAATTTGTAGTTAAATCATCCAATTCATGTGGTTGGCGAGTTGCTGGGACGCGGGTGAAGATTGAATCTCAGAAGATTTGCAAGGGAATACGGAGGAGTTAGTTAGTTATGCCTCCCATTTTCTCCCATAACTAGTCCCTCTCTCGCACCAAGCAGTATCTGGATTCTGCTTCCCTATCTTCGCCATAAATTAGTTACTCGCCAGCAGCGACTTGAGAATGCCATTCTCGACGGCGCAATCCACCCCATTCCGCCCCGGTGCCCGGTCTATCACTTCTTCTACGGCACTTTGCCCCTGCTGCCCTGAAAACGCATTCAACACCTATGGAAGAACCAAAGCTCAGACGAGCCCAGGTCGTCGGCTACGGCCTTTTGCATTCACAGCCGGTTCTTCGTGACACCGCACCAGATTCTACATGTGCAGTAGTGTAACAACTAATGGGACGCTGAGAGTGCTAATTTGCGCCCTTTGTCACATTCACCGTTGCCCGTCAGCGTTGAACGATGTCCTCCATCGCATGATACCCCCCTGGCTTCAATTGGATCTCGATTTCAAAAAGCTCTATTATTCTGGATGATACAAGTCTCTGATTCAGAGCGAAGATCCGTAAATGATAACCAGCATGCCAACCGGAAGAGCTACAGCTGAAGTCACCAGCTTATTCCTTCCTCTGCTTCATTTCCGTCGACGAACCCAGATCCGCAACGCTTGAAACCACACTCTGCACATCGGCGGCGGTGGGAGCCTTGTCCACCTCGACCGGATCATCATCAAGCTTCTCTATGGGCGTAATGCCCTCGGATTGGTCGACTTTCTCCCAGTCATCTTCGCTTTTCTCGTCGTCTCGATCCAGCGTACGGCTCTCCGCAACCACGGATTCCAGTTTTGGCTTCTTTATCTCAGGCCCTCCTTGCGGAATGGGTTCGGTGGTTGGCGCGTCAGGTAGCTGAGCGGCAAGATTGGCGGACGGCGGATCGGAATCCTCAACGGCTGGTGTTTCCTCTTCGGTTGGGGACTGCGGAACATCGGATTGAGTCGGTGGGAAGTATTGCCTGTAAGTAATCACGAATGAGCACGGGTAGGTTTGTCACATGGGGTTAGTTATACTAACGGGATCAACTTTTGATACGCCCGCTCGTCTTTCTTCTCGAACGTGCAGAATATGACCTTTCTCAGTGCTTGTGGGCAGCCTTCCAGGAATTCTTTGACGGTGCGGATCGCGATGTCTGCCGCTTCGTCGCTTGGATAGCCATAAACGCCGGTGCTAATTGACGAAAAGGCAATGGTTTTCATACCATTCTCGGCGGCAAGGGCCAAGCTTCGTCGATAGCAGCTGCGCAGTAGCCGCTCGGGTTCATCCTCGTTATTCTGCATCTCCGTCCAGTAAACGGGACCAACGGTGTGAATGATCTTTTTGCAGGGAAGGTTGTACGCCTTGGTGATCTTGGCGTCGCCCGTCTGACAGCCTCCCAGGTTGCGACATTCCCAAAGTAAGCTGGGACCGGCGGCGCGGTGGATGGCACCGTCAACGCCGCCTCCGCCGAGGAGTGACCTGTTGGCCGCGTTCACGATACAGTCTACTTCGAGCTTCGTGATGTCACTGGAAAGATGGCAGATGGTGTCGTTGAGGATCTGAGACGGGGAGGAGATGCGCGGCGAAACAGCGGGGACAAGGTGTTTGAGTCGGTAGAGGAGGGAGATGGATGGGATTTCGGACAGTGGGATTAGAGCTGACATGGCGGGAGGTGTTGAAGGAATGTTCAGTGTGTCGAGCGCCGGTCGAATTCGAGCTGAGCAAAAGACCGGAGGCAGGTTATCAAAGTAAAGGCACAAGGCTCATTATCGACAACAATCATCAAAATATCATCTTGAGCTGTAGCTGTGAAGCTGCTTGACGCTGAAGATGTCATTCCCTTTCCGGGATCGCGGGATTGGGCGGGGCCAGACCCACCACCGTGATTATGTAATAAAAATCGCATTAACATATCTCCGATACTAACCTGTTCAAGGCTAGCGTGTTCTATATATAGCTTAAGCAAAACTCTAACCGAGCCACACTTACACGTGACCTGCCCAGGTGGCACACCAGCCACCTCCCTTCCCCTTTCGGCAAACACTTATTATGTATTTCTCACTGGCGAAGTATAGAGAAGTTTGAAGCCGTCTTTCAGGTCGCTACCGAGGATGGCCAGGGCCTGCACGGACTCACAGGGGCCCCAGCCCGATCCTTGACTTCTCAACAGCCCCGTGCATGGGCCCTTGCAACCTCAAGGGCTTCTCGCGCTGCGACTCATCACAGGAGAGAAGAATGGCCATCTCCATTCGACCTGCCACGGCCACTGACCTCCCCGCCATCCACACCATCTACACCCACTACGTGCGCAATTCCGTTCTCACCTTCCTCGTCAACGACCCCGCACTCTCCGCCATCACCGACAAGTACGACGCTACCCAGGCCCGTGGTCTCCCTTTCCACGTCGCATGCCTTGATAACGGAGGAAGTGAGGAGGTGGTGGGATACGCGTGCGCCTCTGCCTACCGTGGTTATTTGCTCGGTTACGCCCCGACTGTTGAACTGACCCTCTTCGTGCATCCGGGCCACCAATCTAACGGGGCTGGAAGTGCGCTCCTGTCATCGATCCTCTCCAGTTTAAAGAGCGAGACGAAACATCTAGCCAAAGACCTTGGAGGTGATCCACAGAGGGAAACCTGCTGTGAAGGTGACGGACACGGTGTCATGGTGAGGAATCTATTAGCTATTATGGCAGTAGATACAGAAGGAAAGGGAAAGGGAATGCGCCTGAGAGACTGGTATGTTGAAAGAGGATTTGTGGAAATGGGACGCTTAAAGCACGTCGGTTTTAAAAAGGGCAGATGGTCAGTCACGTTTTTTTTGCTTCAACGCCTAAGCTCTGAACTCGGACACTCTAACAAGATAATTCTTCCCTACAGGATTGATGTGATACATTTACAGTATGCCCTGAGTTGAGACTGCAACTCGCTAGGCATGGAACTTTAGTCAATTGAAAGATCTCTGCTAGTCTGTCAATTGGTAGATTCGTCTATCAGATGCTCGATCATTTACTGATTATATTTGAGTTTTCGACAAACGCCAATCCATACTGACCCAAGGTCAAACTTTCCAACCAAAAACTCCAATACCCTTCAAATTCATCTAAAATACTGGCATCAGTTGAGACTGAAGGGACGTCCAAGTATTGCTTCTCGCCACACTGTGTGGAACGCGACCCAACCATCCTTTGGAGCTAGAGATGGAGGTTTGCCAAGTACACCAGAACTCAATGCCACACGCTTAAAGCTCAACGAGTCGTTCTGCGGTGCTGGACCCTGGTTGAGAGTAGTGACGATGAGCTTGCTGCGTTTTTGCATAGTTTCCATGCATTTCAAGTCCGACAACTCAGGCTACCAAAGACATACTGCTTCTGGTAGAAAACTATTATGCATTTTTTTTACTTCCGTCCGTGAGCCTGGAATGAATCCATGGCAACTATGTACATACATCCATCAGTCAATTCATCGGAATCACGAGAGCCATATTACACTAACAATACCCACGGTAATCGCGATAAGATATTCAACGATGCCCATCCATCCTGACATAACCGCCAAGCAAAAGCTATGATGCTGCTAAAAGAGGAACAAATATAAAATAATGTGTTTAGAAAATAATAGAAAAGAAGTTTCCACGGACAATGGGGTATCAGGGGCGAACCAAATATGCGACGGGGAATTGGCAAAAGGGACGGGTGAAGGTCAGGAGAAAATAAATGGTAAGTCATCTTTGAAAAGAGATAACAGTCCTCCAAATAATACCAGGTATAGAGACCAAAAATGCTTTATATGGTCTAAACGCGGCATCAAACACACCCACCGTGAAATTAAACGACCAGAAAAGGGCAATGGTCTTTTGAAAGAATACAAGTATCTCGATATCAAGTCTGGGGAAGTGGTCGCGGGTCAATAATGTTCCGAGATCTCAAGTGAGCAGCCGCTTTCGAGCCATGTTTTCGGGTGAGCTTGGCGTAATGCAAACCGCAGGCATTGCACAGCGTCCGAGCGCCATCAGGACCCCTGCGCCATTCAGGCGTTTCCGATCGGCTGCAGCTGTGGCATTTTCCGGGTGGAGCTGGTTTCTAAAAAAGAAGTTCTTAGTCAGATACAGGCCACACGAGCTGTCCGGGCGAGATATCATACCCCTCGACGCTTTTTCGCGTCGCCGCCAGCAAAGCCACCGCCCTTGTACTCGTCTCTGTACGCAGCTCGGTCATCGCTGTAGCCGTGTTCGTTTTGCATTACTCGCATTCGCTCACGCTGTTGCGCCAAGGCATGCTCTTGATCCAACACGGCGTGCCGAATTCGGCCAAGAGCATCCATATTCCGACGTTGGATCTGAAGTAAATCGTCAATCTCGGTCAGTGGCGGAAGTGTCTGATCGGTTCTGTTCGATTGATAAATGCGCGTGGCATGAGCCCTGGAGAACTCCATAGTCCTATTACTGCCGTCCGCGATCTAAACGGGGAGTCAGCACATACACTAGGATCATGCGGCGGGCAAGCTCTCACCTCGTTCCAAGTCGCCTGCAGATCAAACATGTCGAATTGACGCTTCAGGGGTTCACTATACGGGGTTGGAGGACCCTTGACAAGTGCGCTAGATGTTGCAGGTTCAATCCCGGGGTTTTCCGCTGGGCTCGGTTTCCAAGGTGCATTTCCCTTGAAGCCATAGGGAGCGACAGGGTGCGCTCCATTGTGCTGCGAACCATTTGGTGGGTATGAATATCCCGGAGGATAAGCTCCATAGGCAGTTGGAGAGGGAACAGAGCCGGTAGGCGGTGCGCTCTGAACCTCATAGCCAGAACCCTGAGAATGGGTTGTCCTCGAGCTCTGTGTCGGGGACTTCCCCGACCCCAGCGACATGATGGACGGATTTCTCGACTCTTGCGAGTGAACTGACGCTACGCTTGATCTTTGGCCCTCTGATCGAATAGATGCAGGCTTTGCAGAGTGTTGGCTCGCAAAATGGTCGTGGGCAAAAGGAGGTTGGGCGGTATGCGCAAAGGGATTCGTGGGACCGTTTGTGTTATCTGGTCCTGGCGTTGGAGTGACTTGCGAAGAAGCCGAAGACTGTGCCACAGTCGTGGACGAGGCGCTGGATTGGAAGGGAAGCGGGTTGCTTCCTAGTGCTTCATGGATCGATGGCAAGGATTGACGGTGTGGTTGCTGGAGGGGTGGATGGAGGTCCCTTTCACCCTGTCGCAGCGGGTGAGCATTTGATGCATAGACGTAACCGGATCCCGATGGCGGTGAGGTAGAAGTCGAAAGGGACGAAGCATATGTATGATGAGAAGGCCTGGTGGGATATGCGGCAGTTGATGGGCTCACTGGCGGTGTTGTGGACGGATGGATGTGCTCCTTGTTGCTTTTACCCAGGTCGAGGAATCCTATCGACGGGAGCGACTCCCCCGGTGCGTGGTTGAGTTTGGTTGGGTCTTGCAAGCTTTGCGCGTCTTGCCTTGACCGCGGGAGTGTGACATGGCCCGGTATAGAGGACCCGAAAGGGGGCCATTGCCTCGTTGTGGCTTCCACGGTGCCCATTTCAAAAGGGTCTCAATCTCTCCTTATACGGTTAAACGTGTTCTCTCGCGTTCCCCGTGCAGCCGTTGAGCGGGTGCAGACGACGACCAGGGCGGAATCCAGCGTCGCGTTGATCTAGTCTTTCGGGAACTGGGGCGCTTGGTATTGCTCTGCTTGTTCCTTTACGGCCAAATGACCCTGCGAGCATCCGTCCTGGCAAGATTCGCACTGACCCACGCCGCGTATAGTCCCGATATCCCTCAATGTATCCAAGAATATGGGAGAGAAGAAACAGACGTGGAATGCGAGGAAAGGGGAGAAAAAAAAAAGGGCTGGCAGGATATCAACCAAAGCGAAAGAGGGTTTTAAATTCAGCGATTCTGTCGAGGTGGCTCGGCAGGGGTAATATTGCTCAGGAGATATTGGGGACAAGTTCCCAGTTCAAGTCGATTCGGAACCAGACGAAAACAAAGGAGCGTGTCACAGGTTGCGGAACGGGGTGTGAGTTGTGTTGCAGCCGAGAAGGATCGATCAAAGGAAGATATCAAGAGGGTCGATTGTCGCACAGCGGGTGCCCACCAGTGATGATGCGGCTCGCCGGGGGCTCAATATGAAAGCTGGGAGAGTCGACAACGGCCAGGCACAAGTGGCAGGCAGGGAGGGAAGAGGCAGTTTACGAACATGTCCAGATTGAGAGCATATCAAGGGCAATGATGGGGAAGCGAAGTTGGCGGCCAACGGGAGGGAGTGGTAGCTGATTGGCAGAGGGATTGGATTGCGATGCAGTGTTTCGTTTCTGATGGGGCAGGGGAGTGCGGGCGGGTAACGATTGTAGTATAGACAAGATATGGTGAATGGATGAGGGTGAAGATGAAGATGAAGATGGGAAGAGATGGAGTGAGGATTGGGATGAGGATGAGATGAGGTGAGGTTGAGGAGAGGAGAGAGCGGATTGGGAAGGGGGCAGACGGGGGCAGTTGCGATGGGCCGACGAGCTGAGATGGGAAGGAAGCAGCCAGGAATTGCCCGACCGAGCAGGTGGAGCAGCACGGTACAGCAGTATCTAATACGCCAGATTACACCGCCGCGACGAGCGAGTGTTCCGATCAGCACCAGCGACCCTGTCACTCTCACTCTGGACTCGTGGTGGATCGCGTGGATCGAAACGCTGTTTTTCTGCCGCCTTGTGAAATTTTAAGATTGGAAATATTACGCAACCACCGGCGCTCGCTCAGATCGCGAGTTTAACGCCAACAGAGTTGGGACTAGGAGTGTGTCCAATCAATGCCTGGAAACCCTCTCCAGACGTCGACGCAGATCGTGACCAGCTGGGCAAGGCCTGGAGGGGAAAATCAGATCCCGGGAAAACGAGGCGGTATGGATCCCAGCTGATATTGTGCGGTCGAATATAGGAGCAAAGAAACCATGGTCAGGAAGAAACAGTGGGTTCTGGAACTTGGGAGAGTTCCCTTGCGGTCCTGCGTTGCCACCCGGGAACCCTGGCCCCCCATTCCAGACATTGGAGTCAGACTAGACGCGGAGGAGATCTGGAACCAGTCAACTTTTTTTTTGGGCGACAAAGCGAAAAGGGACAAAGGAGAAAGGCGGGAGGGGTCTTGTTGCTTGAGAGTGGTGGAAATGCACCGGACATGCTGCTGGATGGTGCTTTTCTTGTTTCTTCTCCTTTGTCCAAGCGTTCTGCTCAAACCCAGGGAATCGGATCACAGACTGCCTTGTGCGGGGGGGGGAAAGAAACCTGCTGGGAGCAACCCAGTGGTTGGATCCAAGCCCGGAGTCGTTGCGTCAGGGAGTTTGGCTCAAGTTTAAGCCTTCCCACCGGTCGTAAAAAAGGTTAAAAAAAAGAAAGCCATTTATATAAAAATTAGGAGTAAACTCGGCGGTTCACTCTACATCCAGGCTCTCCCCCCTCCCTGCAGGAAGAAATAATAAGAATAATGCGTGCAGACACTGATCGCCTGTCGGGTCAGAATCGGAGAAAAGCAACCAGCAGCGCAATTACCGTGGCGGGGGGTTCGAGGCCGTCACGCGCTAGTAACCAGATTCCGCCGCCCGATCCACGGGCATGCACAGAACCTTGATTTGCGGCCGTTGGAACACGTCCGTTACTAGCGCGTACCTCTGGGTCAGGTACGATGGATAACTCGTAGACTTCTCGAGGAAGATGCTATATCTGGCTTCGTTTTCTCATCCGATCGACGGGGCTTCGGGATTTGATCGATCGTATCCAAGGGACTCGCATCCAAATCCCGGCCCTGAGATTGCATGCGGAAGGCGGGGGCCGAGATGCACGGCTGGGACGCTTGGGGTTGGCGAGTCAGCATCGTCAGCATCGCGACAGCGAGCATCCATGGTCTCGGGAGATGCAGGCTCAGATGATGCAATCCATGAAGGATCTCGTCTGCTCAGTGCTTGCTCGCTCTCTGCTTCCAGGACGATCACCAACGGTCTTTTTGTGGAGCGGCGCATTCCCCGGCCTGATGTCATGCTGGGCCGGTGGGTCACCATGTGCGCGTTATCCAGTGCATAGGCTGATTATTGTGAAGGATCAAATCGTCAGGAATAATTTATCCTCAGCAATTAGTGAATCGATCCGATCGTCTGACGCGGATCGAGGGGAGATTGCCCGCACTGCACCATCCCTGCCTTGAAACCTGCTTGGCGCCCGGCCGGGATGCGCTGCTGGACACGTTTTTCTGCTTCCACGCTCGGAGTGGCCGTGCGCACAAACGCCGTGAGGAAATTAATCGTAACAATAATAATCATAATCTTAGAACTACTACGGTGGTTTCGATCGTAGCCAAAAATAAGATCCCAGATCGACGCCATCAGCAGGAATCGAACGATCCAGAAGAGTCGCTTGGTTCGCGTCCCGGCGGGGCAGCCCATCCGGTCTAGAATAACTAGCCGTGGGTGAAATTACTCTGATACAAAGGACCGGCGGCAATCCACTCGCTTTTGCTGCCAACAAACACCGTGACTCGCCCAGAGCCTCCCCCAGCCCCGCGCCCGCCGCGCTCCCTGACTCGCTCACATCCCGAGGCTCATGTGCGATCACCATCCGTACATATCATATACACCGTATGATGGTGACACCACAGCCGCTCTAAGCGACCTGTGCCACCAGCTTCCCATTGCCCCGGGATCGCAAGTGGTTTGTGCAGACACGGCAGCTCGCATGTATCACAGACTCGAACTCAGACAGCTCCTTATCCCGTGCCTGTCGGATCTGTCCGAGAAGAGCGCCGTTGCACTGCCAGATCCCCAACGAGAACGGGCGGGTGGTGTCATTGGCAATCGGGCAGGGTGCGTTCCCCCCAGGTGTCACCGGCAGTTGTGTCCCAGATCTCGATTGGCAATCTGCCCATTTTTATCCTCTTCCCTCTCTCTCTCTCTCTCTCTCTCTCCCCTCCGAACTCGAGTGACGCAAGCATCAATTCTTCATCAGCTTATCAACCGTGGAACGAGGCCCCTTTGACTCACTTCGTCACTGTGATGGTGTATCCCTGGAATGATGCCTGATTTCTCTCTCTCCCGTCTCCTCTGCAAAACATAGCAAATCATCTCAACTGAACTCCCTGGCCTTTCCCCCTTTGCCCTCCCACAGACATCGTCCAAAAAATGTGCCAGCTGGGATTGAAACGCACACCTCTGCCACTGCACCAGCCTCCATGGGGAAAGTCTCACAGTCCAATCAACCGTCTGCTTTCCCATTTCTTGGGCATGGGAGCACTGGGGAAAAGCAGATCCGCAATTGGCCGCGCTGGCTTTAAAGTTGGAAGCCCACAATCCCAAGATTCGATTTCAATCCGATCGGGGAGGGAGTTTTCCCCCTTGTTCCCGCGCTCTGGCCTTCAGCAGTGCCCTGATATAGCTAGGATGCCCGCAGCACAATGCCAGTTCCTCAACTGAAACACCCAAGGCGATCCCCCCCTCCCTTGAACGCCGATGGAAATGTCTTGCCCAAGAAGAAGAACACACAAATCGGGTCCAGCGAAGGATGAGTTATCACACTGGCACCGATGCAACAGCATTTTCCGATGTCATGCCTGCAGCGCCAGGATCAAAATGCCAAGGGGTGACAATTGTTGGCCTTTTTTTTTTTCTCTTCTCAAACAGATAAGATGTTGACGGCACAATCAACAGGACACCTCGCGCGGGGAGCTACTGCTGCAGTGCAAGAGCAGAGTAGCATCCTGCCGTTGCTGGGTGCCATTTGTTTCATTTCCCTTGCATGCACAATCCGCGAATTGTTGGAAAATATAGCTGTATACGAACTCTCCAGCCCTGGGAATCCTTGTGTTTCATGGCGAGGAAGCATGGACCTCACCTCGGCCTGGAAGCCTAGGTGCTCGTCCCAAGTCACGAGCCACATACAGTGAGCTCTATATGCAAGGGCTTCGTCACCCTGCTCAATCGCACATCAAGCTCTTCAATATTCATTTTGCTCCAGCAATGGCCGGGATCCGTGACAAATTCCATCTGCGACAGTTTATTTATAGTGTGTGCCGCTACAGTCGGACTTGAGGTGTTTGTCGACTGAGCCATCTTAGATCAAAATTCCAAAGGATTGTCTCGACTCCCATGAGTGCTACTTGCATTATGTAACGGTGAATAATGATAATTACCAGATATCTTCCTCTTTTCACATCCACAGCCTAGAAGATTCAAGGCGAAATGCTACTATTCCTGTATAGTTTGGTACCCGACACGTCCTACTCACTGTCACTGTTGCACTAATTATCTCAAAATCCCGCCTGGAAAATCAGCCAAACCAGGTTGACCAGACCCGTATATTAAATGTCAAAAAGGCTCTAAATCTAGTTGCGTGCTTTATTTTCGTACGCGACCCCAACGTCGCTCTATCATCATGTCCAACCAAGCTTCTAACCAGGTTCAAGGCGCAAAAGCCCAAAGCATATAGCTACAAGAAACAATATGTACCAAAGTAGGCCACATCAATCAGTCATGTGGCTGCTTCTCGACTCTTCGTCAGATTCGTATACAACATCTCCCATCCAACACTTCCACCCTTGCCTTCTTTTTCGGTGATGTCCTCCACCGCTTTGACCAGGTCGTAACAGATTTTGTCCGAAACAGCACTGTCATGCTGGTATTCAGGATGTTTTGCAACAAACTCTCTAATCCACTTCGCGTTCGTCCACACTCTCCCGTCGCGCGATATCGGATTAGGTTGAGGTAGTTTGCTAAGGCGCACCGGGTCTCCACATCAATATTAATGCTGTTGAGATAGGATTCGACGATGGAGATTAGACCTGGAAAATGCCCTGATGCGGAGCCGTTGATGATATCGGAGACAGTCATTAGTCCATACTCCGACTCCACGGGCCCCAAAAATGGAGAAGGCGGTGCAGACGGAGAGCGGGAGCTGGATGGAGAATTGCTAGCGCTCTGGCGAGGTAGGCGATGGGGGAAAGGGTCCTTGCGGAAATAAAACTTCTTTTCAAGGACGGCGTTGCGAGCATGGGCGGTTTCCATGTTTTCAGTCGTCCGCGCTATGGGAATATAGAAATTTAAATCAAAACTGAGAATGGCTCGGGTGATGAGGACCATGAATATGCTAAACGCAGCATTCTCGAAATCGGTGACCTGAATCTCCATGGGTCGGAACTCCACTCGCCAGCCAATGTCGTTCTCGGCCGGTGGCGGCTTAAATCTGATATGCTGCCAGTTGGTAGATTGAAGATTCTCAAAGTGATCCGTCTTGTTAAGGTCAAGCTCCTTGAGATCTTCGGCGAATATAACGATTGGGTCGCGGATAAACAGGTGGGCGAAATGGGTGGCCAAGAGGTTGTCCATTCCACCCTCCATTAATCGTCTTTTGATGTCTTCATCTATAACGAGGTCGGGGTCCATATACTCTGGCCTTAACCTGGAGTCTTGAGAGATGTAAGTCGAGTTGGAACCGTAGCGAGATTTTGGAATTCTCCATCTGTCGTTTTTCAGGGGCTAGGCGGCCGTGTAAGCGATTTGCATATCAGCGACTGGAAGATAACTCACTTTTTCCCCCAATTCTTCAGCTGTTCTGCAATCCACAGCGCCACTGATTTGATTCCATCTAACGTCAGTATCCACAAGGAATCCCTTGTATATAGGGGTCGCGGCGGTCAACGCCAGCATAATCGGACCCAATGGACTCAGCTGATCGTAAAGTTTTCGTCCTTCGTTTATATTCTTGCACTGGAAGGTAATCTGCAGACAGCAGCTCCCCATCCCAAAGGCCATGGCATCCATGTATACATGGTTTTCCTTGACGGCACCATTCCGCACATCACTGTCTTCAGGCCACGTGTGGAGGTCATAATTGACCGTGGGGTCGTTAAAGGGCCAAGGGGTATTTGTGTCTCGGAACACGGGAACATTCAACTGCACTTTGCGTCCTCTTCTTTGTCGAATATTGGCAGCCAATGTGGGAAATCGAATGTGCGGATTTGCGATCTCGTCCGGGACGAATTGCGATCGCAAAGCGTCTCCCGAAAGCGGGAAACTGGGCGTGGAGAAATCATCCTTTGTCCCTAGCCGGGGAAAGGTAGTCAGGGTGATGGGATATTCGTTCGGAGCCATATGGTTCTTCGCGATCACCCGCCTTGTAATTGGATCAATCAGTAAAAGGCCCGGATAGACTTGACGCATGCAGTCGATATACCTCCGTTTCATATCCGATTCCACTTTTAAGAGATCTCGGAACCCTATGCCCCATGGCTTTCCCGGGGTTGCCTCAAGCATGAAGCGACCGAACTCTGGATGGAATTTTGGAAGTGGTTCCGCTCTGATTCCCGGGTCATCGCCATCAATTAGCCCTCGCACACACCTAGCTAGGGGTATAGCGGACTCACGAATCGTTTCCCTCTGCAAGCTCTTCATCTTTCTCAAGCGACTTGAGAATTTCTGCCTGGCGAAGAGACAGACGTGCTCTCTGCTCCTCATCGCTGACAGCGACAACGAGGTATTCAACCTGACACAAGAAGTCAACCCACGCTCCCCAGCGCTCAGCCAGGTGTTGTAGACAATTACCTCGTCTCCCCAAAGCAACACGTCCCTCTCCTTGCCCTTTGCCTTGTTCCAAATACTCAACAATTGCTAGAGAGGTTTCGTCAGGATGGTCCAGCTGGGCTTCGCAGGCTGAGAGATCTTCGGGATACCTCAATTCCCCACTCTCTGACTTGATTCGCTTTTTGCTTTGCTTCCGGCCATGCCAGCGGTGTTCCAAGCGCTCTATTCAGGCAGGACTCCCAGTCAGTTCACAGATACCCGAGGGTGGTTGGAATGGGACTAAGCAGAACTTACAGCAACCCCATGGCGGGCTCCTCACAAAGCTCTTCAACACGCTTGCGTTACGACGGGGCTTCAGGGGAGATTAGGTTGAAATGGCTCCGTGTCTCCATTGGGGGGGGCTTCTCTGCTGCTATATAAAGAGGACCACAGGCCTGCTGAGCGGCTGAATGATGATAAATCTCGATCCTCGATTTCGGCAATATCGCATCGGGATTAATAAGCGAGGGGCAATATCAGACAGACTAGTTTGTTAGTCAACAGTGAAGCTGGGGGCTTTTATGCTTTTACCCGCGATCGTTCGACGGAAACGCGCGGAGGGAAACAAAGCCAGCACAAAATAGCCCTTGTCCTGGCTGGGTCATACAACCCCGCGAGTTTTTTGTGCGGATGGTGGTGAGTGAAGCACTCGTGCTGGCTGGTTGAAGCCGGCATCGTGAAACTCCCGCCCCTCCCAGCTCTCATCAGCGTGCTTCGATCATCAACGATGCACCCGAACAGGAGCTGCAAGGTTATCCTCCGACTGCATGCTGGCCCAATCATCAGATCGGGCTCGGTCGTTCGCTTCTCCTCGTCGCTGACAAATTTCCGTGTGGTGGTTGCAGGGCTGCCGGGTCCGTGAGCAGGCACCAGCTCGTATCCCCTGAAGAAACGAATCCCTCCGGCAATCTGCCCTTTGATAGGCGTTTGTGAGAAGAGGGAAAGCCAGGCAATGACGTCCATAATCGGGATGATCCTTGACAAGATCTCGAAGAACCCGTCCCGTCTGATTGATATGAAGCCATCCTGCTTGGGTTGTCGTGCTTTTTTATCTTCAAAAAAGCGGAAAAAAAAAAAAAAAAAAACCAAAATTATGTTTGTAGATATCCTTTATTCGTGTAGCAACGGCACTATTTAGCGCGCCTGAAGATCATACAGGGTTCAAGCGCTCGACTGCTTCGAGAGATCCAGGTATTACATGAAGATTATGTGCATAGATTTCAGATACTCCCACTAACTACATATATGTACCCCGACCAGAACTCCAGCCAAACGTGCTACGATTCCACATGTGAACAAAAGGAGATATCTTCTAAACTATACAACAAGTACTCGCACGCCCTTGCTCCCCTTCTTGGGGAACGGGAGGAAGAGATCGTGCGCGAGGGTCACGTCCTCGACCGTGGTCTCGTACAGCTCAAATTTCAATTGACGGAAAAGCTTGGGGATGGCAAGCAATAACTCGGCTCTTGCCAGGCTGTTTGATGTCCAGTTAGCACTGCAGCGCTGGCCTGAGACGAAAGTAGAAGACACATACTTTATTCCAACGCACTGTCGAGAACCTTTGCTGAACGCGACGAGATACTTTTCTAGGTATCTTCGCTGTGCGGGATCAAGCCATCTCTCGGGTATAAAACTGTGCGAATCGGGGAATATATCTTCGTTGTGATGCATCATCACGCTGGTCATGCCCACGGGGGTCTGGTTCACCGGGTAAGCAGAGTGAATACGGTTTAACCTGGGCGAAACTTACACCAGCCGGAATGGACCATTCTTTATACTGAAGATTACGATCAGGGGCAACTCTCTGGAGCCGAGAGCTGACGCCATATGACAGTCTATCTTCTGATTAGCCGATACTACGCGAACCGGGGTAGGAAGCAGGCATACCGCAGGCCTTCCAGCATGACAGACGTCTGCCCGTGCACAGTTAGAATCGTTCACTCCGAACAGCTTAGTTTGACTCACCAAGTACGGCATCTTCTCAAAGTCCACAAAGGAGGCAGTCTGGTCCGGATCCAGTCTGTTCAGCTCCTCGAGCAGCTTGTCCAGTTTGTCTTGGTTCGCAACCAGGTAGTATGTCAGCCAGCTGAGGGTCTTGGCAACCGTCTCAGAGCCGGCACCGATCACACCCTGGATCTCTTGCGACAACCGCTCCGGGCCCTTCTCCTCTGGTGGGAGATTACTTTCAAGTATGTCGTGGAAAAAGGTTGGGTGGTCATACGATTTTCGTTTTTCTGCATAATCAGGTGCAGCGTGCTCTGCGATGACTGAGTCGATGAGAACTTTGCACCGGCGCTGGAAGATGAACATTAGATTCATGCCCGGGTCCATCTTCCCAACGAAGTTTTCTGGTAGCGCTTTCATAATATGCAGTAGTAGGGGATATTGCTTGAAGAAGACGGTGGCTTTGGCAATGCCGCTCAAGGTATCGCACCAATGGGGGACGAAATCAGGCTCATCCAAATAGTTAAAACCGCTTCCCATGGTATAACCCGAGATCACTTCCGTTGAGAAGCAGGTATAGACATGCTGCACCACAAGGGGCGTTCCCGTGCCTTTGAATTCCCTGAAGCGGGCGCAGAGCTTATCCACTAGGGCTTGGATGGTCGGTTCCAGCTTGCGGATGCGCCCCATGGAGAAGTATGGGTTCATGTTTGAACGGCGCAGACGATGGTGGGCATGCTCTACGGTAGAGATCGCCGCCATTGGTGTGCCAAACTGTCTTGTGTAGTATTCATACTTGTCGCGAGGGCTGTCTCGTGAGAACAGGACATCATAGTACTCTGGATCGTCGATGTGAAGCTCATGAGGGCTGATGCGCACAATGGGCCCTACATCGATCAGCTTTGTAATACAGGTTGATTTACAGAAGCCGGGAACGGACCATATTTCTGATGCATCTTCATGATCTCAAATGTATATCTGCCATGGCAGAGGGCATCATAGTAAAACTCGTACCAGAGCGTAGCAGCTGCCAGTTTCGGTCCCGGGAACTTGGATAATGGGGAAAACCATAACCGATAGACAACGAGGCTGATGACATACAGGAGCCATGCCACTGCGGCTGCAAGCACCGGCTGCCCGGAGACAAATTGACGTAGATCCATCCTGCAAGAACCCCCCCTGTAAAATCGAACAAGTCCGACTCAAAAATTGGGCAAAACGGGAGCGATTCGAATCGGCTGGGTTTCCTCAGCCTTTTCTAAGGCGGCGCTCGGAAACCATCACAAAGGATGCAACCCAGAGCTTGTTAACCTTCACGGGAATGAAGTCTTAGCTTGTGGAGAGACAAACACAGCCGATAGTATATGGGCGAATGAATGGCAGTGTCTACGGCAGCAGAGTTCGCAGGCCCCGCCCGCTAAGCTCGCCTCGACGGCGGAAGTTGCACCATCACAGAAGCCCAGGATGGAACTGGTGCCTGAAGGCTGAAGGGTGTGCCTCCCAAGCTCCATGGGCGAATGTCAAGAAAGGCAAGGATATTTCCACAGGTTTTCACCGTCTTGTACTCCGTATTTTTTGGGTGATAGCCAGTAAGTCCCCAAGGAGAGGGCCGAATGTCATGGGGATTGTCGGTCTCCAAGTCCACATGGAAGCCGGCTACTTCCACACGAACAGCCCGTCCGACTGGTGACCAAGAAAGAAAAGCCCGGCCACGATAGTGCGAGAGAGATGACTTCTCCCATGCTTCTTGGCCATCAATCTCGCCAGAGCCGGATGGGCAGAGCCTTTTTTAGATTTGGCAATTTTCCACATCCTTGTCAGTAGTTGGAGCATAAAGTGGCCCGCCTCTGGCATGAGCTGAGGCCACGACGCTGATCCCGCCAGCCCGTGGAGAAGGGATTTCGCGAGCCGTGTGCAGAACTGGGTTGAGCAGACCTGATCTTCGTCGTCAGCGTTGAGAGCAACGATTCGCCTGGAGATGCATGACTCAGGAGGGCGGCACAGCGCCGGTGAACTCTCAGATGTTGACTTGCCTCTCGCCAGGCGCAATGTCAGTGTCAGCTCGCTAGTTAGCCGGCCCTCCCTCAGGCCAGAATTCGCCTGATTGACGGTGCAAGGTGGTCAACTCGGTTTTGGCAGCAGGAGTGAAGTGGATCTAATAACATCGCTAAGTTAGTTCGGAGAAGGTTCACGGCTGCAAACACTGCAAAATAGGGACAGCCAGCCAATCGGAAAGAATGCTGACTAATGAATATGCCCAGCCAATCAGGAGCACGCAAAGCCGATGTCTAGCTACCACGTGACAGCATCCGTGGCTGGCCTGTCTCGCGCGCCGTAGCTGGCTGAGGGGATGGCCGATTGGCAATTGGCAATATTATTGCTGCTTGTCTTGCGCTCTCGCGTTGCCTGTCCTCCCAGCGCGGAATCTCCAGGTAAAATGCAGACAAGTATTAGGGCGGCATCATGAAAGAATCCTTGCAGGGTTGCCACAGTCTCAAAACAATGCCCGGACCGAGAGTGGGTTTTGTCTAGCGGCCGTTCATCCCCGAAGACACCACCCCCCGGGACGCACATCCGCACAAGTCATGTTGCTTCGCGAAAGACCTGAAAGGAGCAAAAAGCGCTGGGCACTAGCAGAGGGGTCCCACTGTGTCTCTTGGACGAGGGCGACCTGGAGCCAGAAAGAGTGCATGATTTAACCTGCCTTGGCTGGCACCCGCCATTGGGCGCTGTGTAGTACATGGAACAGGTGACTTGAGCGCCGTTTCGCCCCAATTCCCTGGCCCAGTCCTCTGTATCACTCATTCTCCCTTGGATGCTCAATGAAACATCTCGCTGCGGCGGGACAAGAGGACGCCTGACAGCCATGCTCATTCTTTAAAGTGCGCATTCTCCATCGCAAGTAATATATTTTGGCGACTTCACACTCGCGAGCCACGTCGGGTGCCGTCCTGGAACCCCGAGCAAACAGACATGGCAGAACAATCATCGACTGCGCGGAGTGATCCTCACCCCTCATATCAACCCCATATCGTCCCAGAGGTCGGTCGAAGGCGTCTTGTCGGGCCTTGTCTTGGCTGCTAATCCGGACATTAGGATGATCATGAGCTTTACGATGACGACTCTGACGGGGCCTCGTAGGTCCCGCTGATAAACTTTTTGGAGAATGTCGGAGAACTAACATCCAGAATGCCAGCATCGAAAGCAGCACGGCGTCCCTGAGTTCAAGTATTATGAATTATCGGTATGGCCACTACCTTGACTCGAAATGCGCCCCCGCATCTAACTTGCAAGCAGATATGAAGTCAGTTTGTGTGCCATTGACGGCGGCTCTATAAGATGCTAAATCGCTTATCACTCCAGAATGGAAGACGATATCATGCCTACAGAGAAGGCGAATATCTCATCGTGGGTTTCTTGTTCATGACGAAGGTCGGTATGCGACCTGCTAACTTTCCATAGCCCAATGATGAACGAGAGCAAGATCGGCTGGACCTGGTACGCTTCATTGTGGCTTCCCGCGGTGATTCAAGCTGTTTCTTACTGTTGCCAGCATCATCACATCTGGAGTATGATCACCGGAGGCGACCTGTATCGCGCGCCGCTTCCGCCTGGTGTCTCGAAGATCTTGGATCTTGGAACCGGCACCGGCAGCTGGGCGATTGACGTCGCTGAGTATGGTGTTCCCTAATGCTTTCACTGATCATACGAAACTAATACTCGTTGACAGCAAACATCCGCAGGCCGTTGTGACAGGTTGGTTGCATTGGCATCTACTCGATGGCTCGAGCAGTCTAACGCTGTGTTCTAGGAACCGATCTCAGTCCCATTCAGCCGTCATGGTAGGGCCCTGCCAGCCGACGAAATGCACTTCATGGACAAAAGAAGACACCGTCTAACCACGCCTATAGGCTTCCGCCCAACTGCAAATTTGAAATTGACGACTTTGAATCGCCTTGGAACTTCACCCAACCATTCGACTTTGTCCACGTTCGAAATATCGAAGGCAGTGTAAAGGACTATCCCCGGCTGTTTAAACAGGCGTTGGCCAATCTAGAGCCCGGGGGCTGGTTTGAAGTCGCGGACTCGACCGTCGGCCTGTTTGGCGACGACGACACGATCGAGAAAGCAACGAGCCTGAGCGAGTGGCGGGATCGCCTGATCGAGGCCAGCGGCAAGTTTGGGAAACCGATGGGCGTGTCGCACAATTACAAGCAGTGGATGATCGATGCCGGGTTTGAAAACGTGACCGAGGAGCTCTACAAGGTTTGTCCATGCTCCATTCCCTCTCGCGGAAGACGGGGAGCTCATGCTTGATCACTAGGTCCCATTCTCGCCGTGGGCGAAAGACCGGAAATTAAAGGAACTGGGCCGTTATCAACAGGCAATGATGCTGGAGGCCCTGGAGGCCTATTCATTGGCACTCTTTACGAGAGTCCTAGGCTGGAACGTGGCTCGCATCCAGCTGCTCTTGGTTGGAGTGAGGAAGGAGCTGATGGACCGCAGCCTGCACATCTACTCGCGCTACTACATTGTATATGGGCAGAAACCCAAGGCATCCTGATTCGCGAGAGCTGCCAAAGGAGTATATGACAGGGAAATCTTTTTGTTCCTTAACTCGTATCTTTTTTTTTTTTCAAGTTAGGATTCAGCGTTGTTTTGATCTACCGTCCGGCTAGGAATAATACCCAAGATCTAGGGGGCGGGTTTTGGTTACGATGATGGAAAAATGACGAGTACGTTCTTCGCTTCATCTTGACTGCGTGGTGTTCCCGTTCTCGTTCCCTGGAGACAAAGGGCCAAAGACTGGCAGTGGCGGCCACCGTAAGGTTTGCATGCACGTTTGTTCGCGGCGACCCAGAACACCAGCAGCCGGCAGCGCCAAGCGCACCCCCAGCATTTACCAGTTTGGGACTAGCCTGGTGTGGCGCCTTAGTCATCATGCAGGCAGCCGAAGCAAACACTGCAAAATGTGAGCCACCAATGCCCTTGCGGCTGTTGATGGCTGTGAGCGCGAGATCTTCAAGCGCCATCTCCGCGAAGTTTTCCGTCGTTTGCTTGCTGGTTTGCCGTCTAATTGAAGATTGGATCTGCACCGCGTATGCCACGGAGTCTGGGGATTCGACGAAAATATGATGTCTTGGCAACACACGCAGGCTCTCTCACAGAATCATGCTCCGCTGATCGCTAAGCGGCACGGCCCGATTGCCCCACTGGTTGGGTAAGCCTTGATTCCTGTTGAAGAAGCTTTCGACATGGTGTCGGCCAGTTTGTGAACACATCGGAATCCTTCCAGTTTAGCGGCTCAATCAGTGCTTGCAGAGCACATGCATGTTTCCAAAGGCCGCGCGGAAAGTGAGCTCTCGCTGGCCTGGTGTTGAATTCTGTCCAAGTCCTGATGCTCGACATAGAAAGAGATGGGATTGAGAACTCTTCTCGAGAAGCATCTGGCGCTCGTGGATTGGGATTCGATGCAATTGATAAATAATAAAGCCTCTGCGGATGGCCGTGGGAGTTTATCGGCATCAGTGATCAGTCCAAGGGAGCAGCCAGCTTGGAAAGCGTCAAACGAGATTGGATCGTTTACTATTTCGTCGTAAGGGATTCACTCTCTGAATGCCATTCGTTTGGTTGACTGTTAAGGCCTTTTGGAGATATTCCGGATGCTGGCACTCTCGATAGAGTAATCAAGGCAATCATGGCTGCCACTGTACAAGTTGATTGGCTTTATTACATCGATCATCTCTCAAGTTGGTCAACCCAGCGTTCAAATACGGAAGGAGATTTGATATTGGTGTAACTCCAACTTCGCTTTAAACCGTCTGTTTTCCGCTTTGGATTCCCACGACTTCATGTTCCTGCACCGGAAGTCAATTGAGACCTCTGTTATGAAGAAGAAGACCCGAAGCCGACGCCATGTGCAACGACATGAATCAGGTTCCTGGCACATGACTATCCGCGGACTCGTCGACTCGCGTCTAGAGAATTGGTCATGCTGAGAGACAGGAGCATGGGTCGATGCGTGGTCTATGCGCGATCAAACCATTAATCGCCTGGAAATCTGCTCGTTCACAGAGATTACCAACACATCATACATGAGCCAGCAATTGATAATAGTCGGCTGTGTTTGCCCAACAGCCAGGTCTGATATCTTAGCCTTTGGTATCGGCGTACGGATGCAGTTGTTAGGAATAACAACAACTCCAGGAGCTACTCAGTAGCTCAGTGATTGATAAGAAATTCCCTCAAATTGAGGGGAGAAGCTAGCTCACGTTTTGACAGCGCAGATTAATGAGGACCATCAGAGCCCTTCCGCGTAGGTTGGATTCAACAATGTCCAGGCAACCAGTCCATGCCTGAACTTGAACCAGCCTGCATTATGAATACAAAATCCCCACTCAGAAGTCAACCTGGAAATCAGCCTTCCACAAGAATAGCATGGGTAGGCTCTTCAAAGCCTAAAAGTATCGAGTACTATTACCAACAATATATCAAAGGAGAACCGTCTTGGCTTCTCCCCAGTTCAGATTATTGCATCATTGCGGGTTGATGTTCCGACATGAGAGGTAGAGGGCAATTCATAGGTGATCTGGCCATTTTCGATTGGAGCATCGTTTTCGTTCGAAAAGGTCAATAGCATGGGGCATACTGTAAGACGACTTTCAGTTGTGCCACCAATCTTTTTCATTGTCAGTCTCCGCTGCTGCATTGCTAACCCGCGTTTTGTGCTGGGTAACTAACTAACCAGTGTCCTCGTTTCCATATTGAAGCCAGATCCAAACCTCATAATCAAGCTCAATGTACGGAGTACCGTCGCCTAAATTTATTAGCTCTACATTAAACTATATAGCCGCGCTGGAGAATGGCTGCCCCTACAGAACAAACACTTCATGACGCGATCACGGATGGATTGGAAGAGAAACGGCAGCGACTCAAGGCAATACAGCTGGAAGCCGAAGAGATACGGGCCTTCATGGAGACCCTCAAAGCCCAAAAGAAGCAGCTCGAGCAGCTCGCTACCAACGCTAAAAAGTCTCAAAATGCCCGCCACAAACAAAATAAGCGGATTTACCGTCGAAGAGCAAATAGCAAGGGAAAACGATCGGCTCAAACAGCTGATGGTTGATTCACGTATTCTTTAAGAGACGATTGACTTGCTTAGTCGTTGATAAAGCCAATATCACAGTCGTTTGGCCGATACCAAGAGAATAAAATCATGGTCTCAGCTCCCGGTTGACTAGGTACAGAAAGGAAACGGAGATTGCCCCGAATCCGATCAACAGCCACCCTTGAGACAAATGTTTCCTGTCCGCCTTTGGACCGTCTCACTAAGTGCGGGTTATTGAGGGCCATGGCCAGTAATAAAGAAGAGCGAACCGGTGGATTCTTGAGCCTTGGGCTGGGGGATATTTTTAATATTGTTGCGCTTTTTGGCAAATTCTTTCAATGCCCTGCCGAGTTGAGAAAGTTCGGCTGCTGTTTCTGATGGCGCAATCGGTCTTTTTTCTATACCCAACTCTTCCCGCTCCTTTTCGTATTGGTTAAAATCCCAGATTTTGTTTTCAACAGCGCGCAATTCAGGTGCTCGGATCTTTAACTCAAAGAAGCTCTGTACACGCTCTTTACTATTTCGGCCATAGTATACATGGTCCAGAACATCCCAGTAAACATTTCCACAACAATGAGGCATTGAAAGTCCAAGGGGTATTAGAAAATCTGCAATTTCAGATAGAGGCCTCCAAAGCTTTGTCAGAGGGAGATCTCTTGTTGGTAACTTTTCAGGGTTGTGAAAGGTAGTTTCTTGATGCTCGACTTGGAGGGTGAAGTTGAAAACAGCTGCAAGGTAACCAAGAGAAGATATATCCTTTGATATCCCAAGTATCTCTTCATTGGTAAGCCAAGATGGGGGCACAAACATTTGAGCTGGAATAGTATAACTCCATTCCCAGATTGAAATTCTCATCAAAAACGATATTAGGAGGGCGCGGGTCACGATGCATCCAGATAAATGGGCCATGATTGTACTCAGGCTTAACCCGTTCCATCAAGATCCCTTGAGATGTGAAGATGCTGTAGAGATACCAGCGGGCATCATCTTCATCAACTATACAATCCCGACCACCGTAGAAGTCATTGGATATTAACTTGGTGATCATGTACAGATAGTCAATTGTTGAGTTGAATGTGCGGTTAGGGGGTAGAAAGCGACAGATGTCATGTCCAGCGACCTCTTGCGCATTGATATCAACGGTCAGCGGACGGTTATTGGTAAATGTCCACCCACCATTCTCATCAAGGGTAAGAGCGCCGATTCGGTCAAATTGCTGCCGGTAAAGTTGGATGTACACATCACCCATCTGAGCATAGAGGTGCTTCCGTTTGTCTCTGTCCATCTCTCGTAGGTTCATAGAATACAAAGTGTTCCCTTCTATGAACTCCATCAGGATGAAAGGGAGACCAAGGGTCTTATCGCCGTCGATTGAGTAGCCGTAGAGACGGCGGATGGGAATAGTAGTTTTCTCTGTGATATACCTACTCAAACTGTCGGGTGCGGCAGATCACCATTGCTGAACACCTGAAAATAGTTCCTGGGCAGCTTGATCAACCTTGTGTTTGGTGATGAGATCCATGGTTGCGATGAAGGTTGGTGAAAGGAAGTGAGATCCTTTGTTGCTCTTGAGGATAGGGAGACTAGCTAAGCTCATTCAACTGAAGGTCCTTGGCCAAGACTTGGCATGGTCTATCGTTCTTCCGGATTTTGTGCTTCGGGCAATTGACCCGGGCGCTGGAGGTCGCTGGACGTTAGAATTAACCGACGGCCATGGCTACGAGCGCTGAAAATATAAAACGAAGACGGTTACAGAAGATTGAAGGACGGGGGAACGGGCAGAGATGAAACCCAAAAGTCAACTCCCAAGCCGAATTTGGCAAAACACAAGCATGAATCCGGGCGAAACCAAACAGGATATAAGCGGGAGAATGTTTGACGATCTTAACTGGGGATTGATGGCCATAGCATGCTAGCTTTTTTACATTTGTGGTGCCATCAGAAGATAAAAGGGCTGATCGGCGCCTTGGGTATGGGAGCCCTCTCTTTGAAAGCTTCAATTCATGAGCATAATCGGGCAGAGCATGCGCCGCGGCCGTATCGAAGCTTTGTAGACACAATAAATACACAGGAAAGCATCTATAGGCACCACGAGGTTGTGTTATTTCTAAATCATCATTCTCGATCAGTTGCTTCTCGCTCCTCCTTTGGCTGCCCGGAGTTCGTCCATCTTCGCGACCCGCTTCTTAAATTCCTCGTATTGGCATTTCTCGTATGAATGTCTCTCGTCCTATGGGAATAGCATCAGTACAACAGTGCAATGTCGAATTGCTCGTGCATATTTGGTTGCCCGACGGCGTTTCGTTATCTGTGGTATGTCGTACCTCGCATTTCCATGGCAAGTAGTATTCCTGCGTCCGACACCGGTTTAGCGGTATAAGCAGATGTGCGCAGCTGTCTCTGTAGGCAATGGGGAGGCGGGCGTTCGACATTTCTTCGCGAGTAGCAGCAGTCGGCTCTGAAGTCGGTGTTAGCAGCCAAGTACCATGACAAAAAGCATGAACCGAAGGGACTCACGGCTACCACCACCAACAATTAGTTCCTTGAGCGTCATTTTGTCTTATGCCAAACTAACCAGGTTGAATTGACCAGCCTTGATGGTGCCCCAGTTGACCCTGGTGTTTGATGAGGTGAACTCCAGGACTCTCGGAGATCGGACCGTGGTTTATCCGGTCATCATGGTTTTAACGCGCGCTTGTTGTTGCATCGCGTCTCCAGTTGGTGGGAAGTTCAGGTTTCTTTTTCCGTGTGGGTGCGGAACTACATAGCTGTGAGTTGGAACTCAGTACTGTTGCTGCCTAGCCCTTTGGTGCTTTGTTGAAGTGCTGGGATACCGAAATAACTAATCACTCACACTATTACTGGAGAACCTTGAACTTTAACAATCTGTGTTGAATTGGCAACCTGGAGACCAACCCGCAGGGGGCACATCACACAGTTTGTCGTGGGCATCGCCGCCATGGCGACCGCTGGGCCTGGGATTGAGGACCAAATTTACGCTGCTACTTACAGCAATGTGCGTATATTTGCACACCTCCTATCACCCCTATCTTTTTCTGTTCTATTACTCACGCAGACAATGATCAGGTCCCGGTCTACGAGTTTAAAGTCGGGTTGGACAGTGTGATGAGGCGGCGCCACGACGATTGGATCAATGCTACTCACATTCTTAAAGTCGCCGGACTTGATAAGCCATCGCGAACCCGTATCTTAGAACGAGAAGTCCAAAAAGGCACGCACGAGAAAATACAAGGAGGGTATGGAAAATATCAAGGTACCAGACACTACACTGCAGGTTCGCCGTAGTGGAAGTTAACCTCAAGCTGATTCGTGTCGTAGGAACCTGGGTACCTCTTCCCGACGGACGTCACCTCGCTGAAAGAAATAATGTGTTGGACGTGCTATGCCCGATTTTCGATTTCGTCCCTGGCGACACGACCCCGCCCCCGGCTCCCAAACACACCACTGCAGCGTCCTCGAGACCCAAAGTTCAAAAGCTGGCTGCTCCGGGTAAGCGAGGCGGCAGGGCGGCTTCCTTCTTGCATCCACGCACTGCCAAGGCGGCGAGCTTTGTCCATAGCCAAGATGCACCGTCTCAAGTTCCGCAGTCATTTAACGACGATGAATCTCTGGCCCAGGCTAGTGTCGAGTCGTCTTCAGCTCTGGCAGAGGAAGATATTGCCCAGCTGTCTCAGCGGTCGACCCATCAACGAAAACGCAAAAGGGGCGGGGATGCAAATGGATTGACGGCAGCGGAACAGCAACACATCGTATACGGCGATGAACTTCTAGACTACTTTATGACTGTCGGAGATGTGCCTGCGGGGATAAGGGTACAACCGCCGGTCCCTCCTACGCCTTTTCAACCCGATCGACCTATCGACGACCAGGGGAATACTGCATTGCACTGGGCATGCGCTATGGGAGCGTTGGATGTAGTCAATGACCTTATTGCTCGAGGAGCCAATATCTGCGGTCTTACATCACATGATGAAACTCCTCTTGTGCGAGCTGTGTTGTTTACGAACAATTATGAGAAGCGGACGATGCCAGAGCTCACAGAAATTCTCAAGGACACGATCAATTTTCGAGATTGGTTTGGCGCCACTGTTTTCAATCATCTTGCCGTTGCGACAAAAAGTAAAGGGAAATGGAGGAGTTCTCGGTATTACTGTCAAGTTTTGATCGCTAAGCTCTCTGAGATGTATCCGCACCATGAAGTAGGGCTGCTACTGGCCTCGCAAGATTCAAACGGCGACACAGCTGCCCTTACCGCGGCCAAAAATGGGTGTTATCGGCTCGCTGAAATCTTGCTGACCAAATGCCCGGAGGCTGGTAATCTTCCGAACAAACATGGCGAAACTGCAAATGAGGTGATGATGATGATCCAGCAGCAACAGGTCCAGAGAGACTACCCGCATCGCCCATCTTCTGCAACGCAATGCAGCACCCACGAGGGCGAAGACTTGGTGGAGTCCCACAATACTGTGACCCAGTCCCAACAAACTAGCCCAAATGAAGCGACGACGGTGCTGCTCAAGAAGATCGGCATAATTATGGATGACTTTAGCGGGAAGCTGGCGCGCGCCTATGGCGAAGTGAGGTCGCGACCTCAGAATTTTGATGGAAAGAGTCACCCAAGAGAGATATACGAGCAAGTGGAAGCAGAACGTGAAAGTATCCGCAAGGAAAAAGAGGAGACACTGTCAAAGGAAGCCGAATGTGATCGTTTTGAGGCGTTGGTGTCGTCCCATAATGGAGCAAAACAAAGGTACGAGTCGTTCCTTGAGCGTACTCAGAAACTCGTCCTCAACAAACGTCTTGCGGCCCACGATAGCGAGGCTGCTCCAGGAAAGGAGAACCAGCCAGCGACCACCGACGATGGTCCCGAGGAGCTCCTCCAGAAATTGCAAATCCTCCGTAAACTCTCACGGACAGAAACCGTTCGTCGAAGCGGGGTCAAGGACATTGTCTCGCACCGTGCAGATGCCGGCCCCGACGCTAGATTGAATGTTCACCGGAAACTTGTTGCGCTGGCCACCGGACTCTCCGAGAAGGACCTCGACCCTATGGCGAAAGACCTTGCAAGCAATCTTGAATTCGCGCGAGCACATCAGAGCCGACCAAACCCGGCGCCGTCAAACGCCGGGACTCAGCCAAAACGAAACCCATCGCAAGAACCTGCCGTTGGGGCAAACGCTGGCGTTTGACGAATTTAACATTTCTGTCTTCCTCATCTGCTTTTTATCCGTGCTTGTCCTGTCTTGTTACCAGCTTGTACCTACGTGTGACTCTTCTGTGTTTTGCTTCTCCTTTTTATTGTGCCATGATGACTTCAGATTCATGAGCCTTATGATACCTGTTTGAGTCAATGTGGCATGGAGTTTTATCGGGATCAGTCAAGTGAAGGAACTTGCATGTTTCATGGCCTGTGTTTTATGTTTGTTTGTGATTTGGCGTTCCAAGGGAGTGGATCAGGGGGTCGAGCTTTTGTTTCAGTGTTTATTTTTGCATGTCCGTGGCCGATAGCACAGGGTAGCTGCTTATGTATGAGACCAATGTCAGATTCATCTTGTCGGAGAACAACTTGGAAACAGGAAATCTAGATTGTGGCCCCTTATATCTTGGGATGAAACATCAACTGCCAGTTTTCACTGATCAAGTCATACACAAAAATGTAAAACCATTGCTTGCAGCCGATCGGTTGCTGTTGGGGGCTCATGGAACGAGGCCCAAGGGGTTGCTATTCTTAGCGCGTCGATCTGGATCGCGATATTCTGCTGAGTCATCGGCCTTGGAGTCGTCCATTCTTCGGATTGCGATTGGTCCAGCGAAGACATGCGGTGATGTTTCAGCCTAGCCCAAAGGAGGATAGCTCCGATAGCGGCTGGCCAGCTGTGGGGTCGATTCAGGCCGCCAGACCAATCACGCCGCAGAACGCCGTCTTTGCTGGATAGAGCGGTCGTTTTTGCCGCCCGCTCATTGGCCAGCGCGCGCTCGCACCGTCGGAGTTCCAGTCCCCATAAGGTTTTCCTGGCCCCCTTAGCCCTGGACCCTAACCTGACCTCACTCCATCTCCTTGTTCTTCCCCCTCTCCCCTTCTCTTTCTTCATCTCCTCCTTCTCTCTCTCTCTCTCTCTTCTCCCATACATATTATCGTCAGATCCCATCTCCCTCTTCTCTCTCACCATCCTCCTTTCTGCCTTCCTTCTTCTCTTTTTCTTTTGCTTTTCCCTCTGCGTTCAATCACTCCCTAGTTTTCCAGTTCGTTGAGAAAAGACCTTCCACAAAATCAACAAGGCTCGTCGCTCTGTTACGCGCCCCGTTCGTTAACGTACCCTCGACCACCCTGGTATTATCGCCCAAGCGAGCATCGACTCCCCGTTGCCCGTTTTAACAATTTTCGAGTCCCCGCCATTTCCACAGGCTCACAGTCTGCCCGTTTTGGTGCCGAATCTCCGATACAACTCGATTGTCTACCTCCGTTCGCCGACTTTCTTCTCTTCCGGAAAACGCTTCTTTCGCTGTTCCATTCGATCGCGTCGTGGCAGCAATCTTTTTTTAAATCTCTTCGTTCAACATCGTACCTCGGCTGCTGTTCTCTCCCGTGAGATTGCGGTGCAATTTCCAACAAGACACAATTTGGCGTCTCGAAAGCCTCGACGTTTCCTCCAGGTCACCCGACTTCACCGCCACCCTTAGGTCTTGGATATACCACTTGTCTATTACCTAACTTCAGCCCGATCCTCGGTTGCTTGCTGGCTAGCTATTTCCGTTCCATTCGATTGTATATTTTTATTAATTTTGCCGATCCCGATATTCGATCCTTGGTAAGCCCCCAATAATATTGCTATATTAACTGAAAATGCGGGAGCCTTCCTGGTTGATTCATCGTTACGTTACTGATAGAAGCTCAATCAACAGCAAGCTGGTCAAGTTTTGCCCCCGACTTACGATTTTTCCCCTGGCGCCCGAGGCCTCACCCTTTGCACATTGTATTATACGCTTTACGGTACTTTTGCCCACTACGTTAATCGCTTAATTCGTTCTTCCATCTTCGAGATATCTCGTGCATATACAGCGCATTCTCCTACGGCATTGACGATCTAATCGTTTTATTTTAATATACCCACTTTCGACTTCACCGTTTGTCGTATCTCTGCATATCGGTTAATGAGTCGCAAGCATCCCACTACATATATTTGAAACAGTATCCCGAGTTTCCTGCCTCATTTTGAACGATTACGAGTATGGACACTGGTGGTCTAGCTCAAATGACTTTCAACGCATCCATTAACGGCGGATCCCTTGGTGTCCCTAATAACGGGTTCGCGTCTCGTGGAAAAGGTTCCCACATCAAACGTTTAAGTGTTCCGCACCCCTCTAACTTTGGATCTGGTGATGAATCTCAAGCTCTACCAACACCCCGCACCAGTCGCTCGCACCTTCTCGCTGGACTGAGGACTGCCCCGAAACAACCGCTAACTCCAACCACTGCACCTTTGCTGCACCAGCATCCACACTATTCGGGATTGGATGCTTCTGGATATGGTGTTTCTCAGCAATCCTACTTTGCAGGGGCGCCACACACGGCCACGGGGATCGCTTTCTCTGCTCGTACTAATAACGTGGGTGGTGGTATTAACAACCCGATGTATTCGCTCCCGGAACATGTTCTTGCTCCACCGGCACTCGATCAGATCCTAGAAAACGGAGAGCCGATGGATGAAAGCCTGTACAACGAGCTCGTTCAGACGAACTTGTTTTTGGCTGCCCAGCAACAACGTTTGCAGCAGCAACTCGCTACAGTTACTGCTGCAGCTCAGCAGTTCCAGGCACTTAACCTGGGTACTCCTCTAAACACCCAACATGTTCTCACTCCCGGGCTTGCCGGAATGAGCCTTTATCATCAACAAGCACAACATGGGATGCAGCCGGTTGTTAACCCAGTTCCAGGCAAGCGCGGCGTCTTCTCGGTGTTTAATCCAATGACCGGACAACACAGCTACCTAGTCGACAATACTGCCCTGGAAGAGCCTCAATCGGCTACGTATTATGAGCAGTTGCAGTCTCCCGGCCCGCCGAACGAGAATTTTGGTGGCAATTTTGCCGCCCGTCACGAACAGGGCTCTTCTCCGGTGCGCTCCCAACCCTCGAATAGTCCGACACGGATCTCGTCTCCGGCTCGCCAGGCCTCTCCGTTGCAACAACAAATCTCCAACAGGCGCCTTCACAGGAAGATGCCTTCTGTGTCCGTCAAAACGGCACTCGACGTTGGGAGGAATGGAACTCCAAAGTTGGCAAACTTCCCGCCTACCCCGGCTACAGGTACCTTCGGCCCTGGCCAAGGGCGCGCTGGAGAGCATCCGATTCGCCAACCTCGAGGCCCACCTTCCCTAGAGGAGCTTGTCTCAAAGCCCACTGCGAAACATGAAGGCAGCAAGAATTTCGTTACTCGCCAGCGTCGTAGCGCAGTTCACAACCTCGTTCGTGCCGGAATGGAACGTCGCAGCTGTCATAGCAGCACCGGTGGAAGCGTCACTCCATCTAGCGACACCGAGTTTAACTTCTCTCCTTACCCAGGTGACGATGGTAGCGTGAATCCTTCAACCCAATCGAGCGTCGAGAATTTGCGGGGAGCAATTGGTTCCGAAATGAAGGGGAGAGAAACTTCTCCTCGTAGCTCAGTTGGAAGAGTTTCGCCAGTCGGTGGGCATTTTGGCGGGAGTCGGACTAATTCTCCCACTGCTGCTGAAATTGTGGCGAACCACTCGGCCACGAACAACAATCAGCTCCCTGAGCGTCGCAAGATGCCAATGTTTGTCCTCTCGAGCGCAGAGAAGCGCAAGAGTCCGCTCATGTAAGTATTCGGATATACGGAGTACAAATGGGAAGAATGCGGACTATGAATAGGCGGCCCTGGAACTGTGTTTTCTCTCTTCATTTTCTTTTTTTGGCTGAAAATTTCTCTATTGCTTGTGATTTGAATTGTTTGAAGCCATTCCCTTGCTATATTGGGCTTACTTCCCTCTGAATGGAGAGGGCCAGACTGCAATGATCTACTTCCCTTCGTTGGGGCCATTCCCCCTGTCCCACTCTTATCTTAACTTGGTATATCTTATTCTCACAGGCTTGAGATCAAGTAACGGCCGTGATTGACTTTGTGATTGACTACTAGTTAAATGTTGTCTAACATGAAAATTTGGAAAATAAAGCGAAAACTCTTGCTTGTCTTGATGTTTGACGAGTTTGTTCAGGTTCATGTGCATTGTTTACAGTCAAAAGTGGTCCGTGCTGAGAGAGTTGCAGAGAGCAAGGGCAGAGGCCATTTACTGGACTGCTATTGTATGAATCACAATATGTGGGACTGTTGGATTGTCCCTTGCATTGTCGCGGCTTTGAGACATGTTTGCTTTCCGATATTCTATTCTTCTTGGCTCGCTGGCGACCCAGACCTGGATGCGAAGTATTGCATGCTATTTGTCCACTTATCTTTGCTGTTTCAAGTGGTTAGTGGAAATTACCATATCAACTTGGTGGATCTATGCAGGTGTTTGGCCAGCAGAACAAACAAAAGAAATTCAATGTGCTTTTCTTCCATAGTTTATTCTCTGGTTGTGAAGAGAAGGTGGAAGTTGACGACTTGAGAGTTGTGTCTAGATCAGCCTGTGCTCTGGCCTTAGTTCAAATGTGGCAAACCCTTCGACACTGACACATCTGAATTTTCACCCATTTGGCGAGATTTGCCCAACAGCCCTTGATTAATTAACTAGTCATTGGCTGCTTAGCTTTCCGGTGAGGTTGTACTGCGCAACGCCTGATATCATTTAGAAGCTTCTACTGTGATCTGACCACATTGCTACTGAAAATAGAACCAAAGTTTAGCCACGCGAGCGGGAAGCAGAGCTCTCGTGGATCCCTAGCGAGGTAAAGGTTCAAAAGATCCCGGCGCGGCCATTGATGGGACCCATGGGTCGCAAGTCGTTTTGTCGTCGACGGCCGGACGGTCAGCATGACCTTCGTTGAACCGGGCCTACGAGCTCTGGGCTGCTTGCTTTGCTTGCCTTGACTCCTGGAAATTCTTCCCAGGTGAAAACCTAGATTCAATTAGGTTTTGCCGAATGGATGATGCGCTCCCCTTTCCATGCTGTGGCGGGATGGTTGTGCTCTCGATAATGCGGTTATCGCTCAATGCTTACCTATCTCTATCTCGGATTGTTGCTCCAACCCACTCTACGGATCAGTGAAACAGGATTAAGGAGCTTTTCATTGCTCCTGGAAAAGAGCGCCACTGTCAGTCAAAGCTCTCTCTACCTTGCCTGAAGAATTCCCGATCTCACATTCGCCTCCCGGTTTAGTTGGCTGAAAGATGGGTCGTACTTGTTCTCCATTATTGTGTTCCTATTGCTCCCGGCTAGCTTGTTATTGGTCTTTGGTATTCCGTCTCCTATGAACGTATAAACTGGAGATTTTGCCCGTTTGACCGAGACCAAGCTAGCTGAGCATTCGCACGATAGACAGGCTATCTGCGTTTGCTTTGAAGCTGCTAGAACCTTGCTGCCCGTGCTTGAGACCTCTATCCTCGCCGGGAAATTACATCGAACGGGTGTTCATTCCGGGCACTCGTTAAAAATTGGGTTTTGACTGCTGGTATCAATCGTCCTGCACATAGTATTTGGGGGAAGATAAAAGCTTGGAAATACGGATCAAATATAGCTGTGCTGGCAGGTTCTGCTTACCTGCTTTCCTTTTTTTTGTACCTGCTGAAAGGGATACCCTCGACTCTAGTTCACGATCCCCTTTCATTCCATAGGAGTTCGTCTGATCCCACAGCAAGATGGCGGGGGATCACTATATCCCCATGGATGGTTTTCCATCGGCTCCTACTAGCGGCGAAAGTTCACGAGCTCCCAGCCCCCTTGGTATCGGTACTGCCCCATTGCATTCTGTTTTAAGACGTGATAGCTTTTCCAGAAATAGCGGACAGCGGAGCAAAGAATTACGATGGAGCAGCCCAGTAGGCGACGCACCGGACGATTCACAAAGGGTCTCATCGCAGATGGACTTTTCACAGCCACCACCTCGAATCCCCCCGGCTGCGCATCTATATTCCTGCTCGCCGTACCGAGGAGGAGTTTCCTCCGAGTACAGCCCACAGGTCGACGCTGAACAACATGTCAACGGAGAGCTATCAAATTCTGCCCGACGCAAGGGGAAAGCTGTGCATTCCGCGTATGAAAAAGCCCGGCGTCTAGCAGCCAGAGTACACAGACCGTCGTTTGCTCGGAGAACAAGTCTTCCCAACAAGCCTACGAACAATTCGTCCGAGGGGGATATGTCCACGCGCGACGTGAGCCGAATGGGCGAAGATCAGGATGAAGCAGTATATACAACAGAGTCATATCCCTTTGGCACCTCGGAAGCCCACAATATCGTCCGGCGAATGAGCCGGCCAGATTCTGAGACTTTGGCCCCCGGCCAACCCGCTAAGTTTCATCGTAATGAAGCTAGACGAAATGGAGAAAGAAACATGAACGATTGGGAGGAGCCACATGGCCAGTATCGCGGGAGCATATTATTCGAACTGCTGAAGCTGTACCATCATGGCGAGCATGGAGAAGGCGGTGGGGGAGGGGATGAGCGGCGGCATTCTTCAGCGTCAACCCTGCTGCCTGTGCACGAGCCGCCCTCGCGAGGGTTGTCTGGCCAGAGCACCCCCCGTCACAAGCTCAAGTGGTACGACAAGTCCCGGAACGTCTCCTCGAGCTCGGTGAACACGCTACTTCCCGAGACACGCTCCCCTTCGCTCGATGGACTCAAGCGGTCCAAGAGCAGCAATATGCTCAGCATGGCGGCGAAGAAACTGCTCCCTCGACCTCGGCTGGAGGATCAAATCCACATCACGGTTCATATTGCAGAGATCATCTCCCGCCAGCGGTATCTGATGAAGCTGTGCCGGGCGCTCATGCAGTACGGGGCGCCGACGCATCGGCTGGAGGAATACATGTCGACGACGGCGAAGGTGCTGCAGATCGATGCGCAGTTTCTGTATATGCCGGACTGCATGTTCTTCTCTTTTGGCGACGCGACGACGCACACGACGGAGTTGAAGCTGCTCAAATATCCGCAGGGGGTGGACCTGGGACGTCTGGCGGACGTGCACGAGATCTACAAGGAGGTGGTCCATGACATTATCGGAGTGGAGGAAGCGATGCAGCGACTGGACGAGACGATGCACCGAAAGGACAAGTACAACAAGTGGTGGCTGATTGGGCTGTACGGGTGTGCATCGGCGACGGTGGGACCGTATGCGTTTGGGGCGGGCGCGCAGGACATGCCGATGGCGTTTCTGCTCGGGTGCATCCTGGCAGGGCTCAAGTACCTGGTGGTGCCGCACTCGCCGCTGTACTCGAACGTGTTTGAGCTCACTGCGGCGCTGGTCACGTCGTTTTTGGCGCGGGCGCTGGGCAGCATCCGGGCGCCGGGGGGCGAGGCGGGGCGACTGTTCTGCTTCCCGGCGCTGGCACAGTCGGCGGTGGCGTTGATCCTGCGGGGGTACATGGTGCTCTGCAGCAGCCTGGAGCTGCAGTCGAAGCACATGCTGGCGGGGTCGGTGCGGCTGGTGTTTGCGATCATTTACTCGCTGGTGCTGGGGTTCGGGATGATGCTGGGCACAGCGTTTTATGGGGGGCTCGACCGGACAGCCAGCTCGGCGTACGCGTGCAGCGGGGAGGGGCGGTTCGGCCCGCTGGGGGAGGCGGCGCGCAAGTTCCCGTCGGTGGTGCTGTTCACGGTGTGCCTGGCGATGATCAACCAGGCCAAGTGGAAGCAGACGCCGGTGATGGTGGGCATCTCGCTCACGGGGTACGTGGTGACGTTCTTCTCGGGGAAGCGGTTCGCGCAGAACCCGCAGCTGGCGAGCGTGCTGGGGGCATTTGCGATCGGGGTGCTGGGCAACCTGTACAGCCGGCTGCGCCACGGACTGGCGGCAGCGGCAATCCTGCCAGCGATCTTCGTGCAGGTACCGTCTGGGCTGGCGTCCAGCGGCTCGCTCCTGGCGGGACTGGCGGTTGCCAACGCGGTCAACGAGAGCGCGCGCCAGGCGGGGGGAGCGGGCGACGGGCGCGGTGCTGGGGCCGGGGGTCAGCGCGGACGGGATCGTGGGGGACGTGTCGAAGGCGGTGGGCACGAGCCAGGTGTACGGGAGCATTGCTTTTGAGCTGGCGTCGGGGATGGTGCAGGTCAGCATTGCGATTGTGGTAGGGCTCTTTCTGGCGGCGCTGGTGGTGTATCCGGTGGGCAAGCGGCGGAGCGGACTGTTTAGTTTTTGATAATAGCTAGCTGATGGATGTAGTTAACTATAGATGATGTATAGATCTGGAATTATTGTCTTTGATGATGTATTGGAGACAGTGGATGGTTGCACAGCTCAGCCTCTGATGTTGATATTGTGCTATTAATAGCTGGCTGGCTAAGGCTAGTTGCGGGTTAGCGACCCAACACGACCTCAGCAGAAGGAGATAATTGAAGCGAGTTGAATTGAGTGTGATCAATTGTCTTTTGTGTGTGTCTCTCTCTCTCTCTCTATCTCCCTCTGTCTCTCTGTGTCTCTGTCTCTGTCTCTCTGTCTCTGTATCTGTTGTCTTCTCTTCTCCTGACCTGCTCGCCCCACATCTCAGCTTTTTGACATCACTCCATCTCAACATTCTCTCTCTCTCTCACATCCTCTCTCCCTTCTTCTCCCTCTTCTTCTCTCTCTCTCTCTCTCTCTCTCTTTATATCCTCTCTCTCATGACACCCTAATCACCATGGTCCGCATCCCCCTGCCGCACCGCATCGCCAGCAAGGGAACGCCCTCGCCCGACGACCTCGCCAGCCCGCCCGGCTTCGTCGACTGCAAGCCCCTGGTCCTCAAGACCACTGTCCTCCGTGTAGGTGCCTCCCCAATGCCTCTCCATCGGCCGTCCTGACTTTCTCCTCGCCACAGGGCAGAGACCTGGCCGCCAAAGACCGCAATGGCACCAGTGACCCCGTACGTCCACCCCCAGCTCCGTGAGCTCCCTGCAAGGCTCTGACCTCCCTGACTCTGCCAGTATCTTGTCGTCACCCTGGGCGACTCCCGCCAGTCCACTCCCACCATCCCGCGCTCCCTGAACCCCGAGTGGAACGTTTCCTTCGACCTGCCCGTCGTCGGCGTGCCCCTGCTCGAGTGCGTCTGCTGGGACAAGGACCGCTTCGGCAAGGACTACATGGGCGAGTTCGACATTCCCCTCGAGGAGATATTCTCCGACGGCCGCATCCAACAAGAAGTATCCAGCCCCCCCCATTCCGTACCCTCGACCACAGCTGACTTCTTTTTTCAAGCCGCAATGGTATGACCTCCACGCCAAGTTCAAAAAGGGCAAGGACAGCGACGTCTCCGGCCAGATCCAGCTCCAATTCTCCCTCTACGACTCCGCCCAACCCGTCCGCCGCGCCCGACGACATCTTTCTCCCGCTTCATCGCCCTTGTCTCCTCCCCCCGACGATGACTACGATGGCTCCTCCCCTGGGCCTCCACCGAAGACCGACGACAAGTCCGAAGAAAACTTCGACGAGACTACCCGACGACCTTCACCCGGCCAGGTGTCGCTGAGAAGCGGCGCCGCCGTCTGCGTCTTGCCCGCCTGCGGAGCAAGTCCATCGCCGCCCGCGCCTACGAGTTCTCCGGCGCCAAAGACGGCGTCTCCGGCATCGTCTTCCTCGAAGTGGGCAAGGTGCTGGACCTGCCCCCGGAAGCCAACAGTAAGCCGCCATCTCCTCTTTCTCCTTTTTCTTACTCACAACACCTCTCCCTTTTCCAGTGACCCGAACGTCATTCGACATGGACCCCTTCGTTGTCACCTCCCTTGGCCGCAAGACCCTCCGCACCCGCGTCATCCGCCACAACCTCAATCCCATCTTCGACGAGAAGATGGTCTTCCAGGTGATGAAGCATGAACAGTCCTACTCCTTTGCATTCACCGTCATGGACCGGGACAAACTCTCCGGCAACGACTTTGTCGCCTCCGCCAACTTTCCCCTGCAGACCCTCATCCAGGCTGGGCCCGTCGCTGACCCGGACACCGGCCTCTACCAGCTGCCGGGCCTCTCGCAGCCGGCCGCCGTGCCACCCCCCGCGTCCGGCAAATCGCGGTTTCGCCTGGCCATCTCGCGCTCCTCGTCCGCCTCGAGCCTCACGAAGCTGGCCCGACCCGGCCTGAAATCACGCACCTCGGCCGCTTCCCTCTCAAGTCAGTTCCAACCAGTGGAACAGACTCACGCCCCTGCCACTGCCCCCTTCTCCTCCTCCGAGTCCACGCCCCAGCTAAATGTCCCAGGAACTACCAGCGCGTACCCTTCCGACGGCTCCCTCACCCCGCCCGACGCCGCCGACCTCAAGCCCTACGTGATCCCCCTGGTGCTCCGCAACAAGGACCGATGGGAGGACCGTCATAACCCCGAGCTCCACGTGCGCGCCAAGTACATGCCCTATCCGGCCCTGCGCCAGCAGTTCTGGCGCGTCATGCTGAAGCAGTACGATGCCGACGACAGCGGCCGCGTGAGCAAGGTCGAGCTGACCGCCATGCTCGACACGCTCGGCTCGACCCTGAAAGAGTCCACCATCGACGGCTTTTTCCACAAGTTTGCCGAAGCCAACGAGCCTAGCGAGACGGTCGACCTGACCTTTGACCAGGCCGTCATCTGCCTCGAGGAAACGCTGCAGGCCCTGCAGAAGAAAACTGTCGGGTCGCAGCTGCAGCGACTGATGCCCGCCCGGTCCCAATCCACGGAGGCCTCCGAGACCGAGCAGCCGTCGGGCGACGAGGTGCCAGCGCGCCTGAGCCCGTCTGTCTCCGTGAGCGCGGACCCCCGGGGCATCGTCACGAAGACCATCTCCCGCGATGAATCGAGCTCCGGCGAAGAAGGCACCCTCCACCCCGACGACCTCGCCGACGAACGCGGCGAAGAGCACGTTATCGAGCTGCGCGAGTGTCCGCTCTGCCACCAGCCCCGGCTCGCTAAGCGGTCGGATGCCGACATCATCACGCACATCGCCACCTGCGCCAGCCAGGATTGGCGGCAGGTCGACAACCTCGTCATGGGTGGGTTTGTCACATCCAGCCAGGCCCAGCGGAAATGGTACAGCAAGGTCATCACCAAAATCTCCTATGGCGGCTATAAGCTGGGTGCCAACTCGGCCAATATCCTGGTCCAGGACCGCATTACAGGCCAGATCAACGAAGAACGGATGAGTGTGTACGTGAGGCTGGGTATCCGATTGCTCTACAAGGGGCTAAAGAGTCGAGAAATGGAAAAGAAGCGAAGTAAACACTTTCCCCCTTTTTTTATTTTTAAGTAATTTGGAAAACAATTGCTTACAGCCGACAGTTCGCAAGATGCTCAAATCCCTGAGTATCAAGCAAGGCAGGAAATACGATGATCCTGCGTCGGCGAGTCAGATCGAAGACTTTATCCAATTCCACCAGCTCGATATGTCCGAGGTGTTGCTCCCTCTCGAGGAATTCAAGACCTTTAACGAGTTCTTCTATCGTGCCTTGAAGCCGGGAGCGCGCCCTTGCTCTGCACCCGACAACCCGGACATTGTCGTTTCGCCCGCGGACTGTCGCAGCGTTTTGTTTGATCGGATCGACGAAGCGACGAAGATTTGGGTGAAGGGTAGAGAATTCTCCTTGGAGCGGCTTCTGGGCAAAGCCTATCCCGAAGACGTGCAGCGCTACAAAGGCGGCGCGATGGGTATTTTCCGGTTGGCGCCGCAGGACTACCATCGATTCCACATACCCGTCGACGGTGTCATGGGCCTTCCCAAGACGATCGAGGGTGAATACTACACGGTGAACCCGATGGCCATCCGGTCCGCACTTGACGTCTACGGCGAAAACGTCCGCATTCTGGTCCCCATCGACTCTGTCTCCCATGGGCGGGTCATGGTCATCTGTGTCGGAGCGATGATGGTTGGCAGCACCGTCATCACCCGGCAGGCTGGGGAGAAGGTCACTCGCGCCGAGGAGTTGGGCTACTTCAAGTTTGGCGGCAGCACGCTCCTGGTCCTGTTTGAACCGGGCCGAATCAACTTTGACAGTGACCTGCTGGACAACTCGAGAGGAGCTCTCGAGACACTGGTACGTCGCCACATTTCTTCTACTAGACTCCCTTGCTGACTATTTCCCAGATCCGAGTGGGCATGTCCATAGGCCACAGCCCCCACGTCCAGCAGTATACACCCGACATGCGTAAACCCGCCGCGCTCGTATCGACGGAGGAACGAGAAGAAGCGAACCGCAAAATCGGCGGGGACCCGACACCAGCGATAACACTGGAGGTTTCATCACATTAGAGGAGTTATCATAACATGGCTTCTTTTGTTTTCTGTTCTTGACTCTGAGAACAGAGATTCGCCCTTTGTATTTTCAAGCCAGCGGCGATTCTCTTGTTTCTTGATACCTCTCTGTCTTCAAATGAAGTGCATTGAATTACATATAGACTTGTGGGCTGGGCGGTTTTTCCCCCGTTCTGTTGCCGACTGTACATGCATTTTCCTCTCACCGGGTACCGACGATGACACCCGTGCTTGGGCAGGACTACTCTCATTTTATCTTTCCTGATATCTAGAAATATGCGCCGTGAAGACCGGGCTGCAGCTCATTATATTGTATAGCTAATATCGACTAATAGACTTTTGTGCTTTGTTTTCGCTTCGTCTGGTTTCTTCAAGGCCAGGCCAAGGACGTGGTTCCATGGATAACGCCCGACTATGGGTGGGTACCTCGGTTCTAGTTCACGATTGAGTTGAACACGGGACGGGCCGTGATGGGTTTCCAACGGAGTTTTCAGGGAAACTCTGCATCGGCGGAAATGTTGTTTCTTGACTCATCGAGATTCAGGCTCTGTTCCGTTTCACCAGATCTGCTGTCGCAAGAGCCCGTTCCATTGAGAACCTGGTAGCTGTTAAGGGACTCTATTGAAGCAAAAGTGTTTGGTGAAGATAAACTTCCTGTAGAAGCATAGGTTGGAGCCCAGATCTAGTTATACAGCAGGTTGGGTGTTGCCAACATTTCTAGTACATTTAGGCCTGCATAATAGTTTTAGAGGAGTTGCAATTCCACAGTGAATTTATCATTAGAATTGTAACTGTAGCAGGAGTCGACAAGGAGCAATGTAAGGAGCAATGTGAAATATTGTGTTAGTCAGATATTGAGAACACTGCTTCTGAGAGATAACACGGCATATTGGCGGCTGCAAACATGGCCTTTGATCTCGGTCATTTGTTGTGAAACATGAGAACAAAAGGCCGTTTGCCATGTATACCCATGTTTCAACAGAATATACTGTACCGCAGCCATGCGGAATTTTGCAACAGTCCTAGGTAACCATGTAGCTCAAACGCCCAATCGAGGCATATCTTGATTGCTTTCACGCGGCATCCCGAGTAGCTGTAACAACAAAAAATATTCACGTCACTCGCTATGTGGCACTTTTAATAGATTGTCCCACACAGATAATTTGCTAACAAAAACTACATCCGTTTGAACTGATATCAATAGAATGGGCTTGATGGCAAGCGTGCATCAGCCACGGGTATAGGGTCACGCCAGTGAGGGATTAATCGCCGGAACGGCTTGAAGCTTCAACGCTGCTGGTTAGCCTGGCGATTTCGCCACGAACCTGAATTATAGCGAGTATTCTTTGCAGCTGAAAATAGAGACACAAAAAGCAGGGAAATTGAAGACAAAATACGGTGGACCTTTCAGGGGAAAATTGCAGGGGCAGTCGGCAAGAGGCATTTTTAGAAACCGTTATTGATGCGATATTGAAGGGAACAGACATCTAGGATACACAAGAAGGATGCAAACCGGTTTTCTTGATTGACTAAGGCCTGTTCTCACCAGTCAGCATGGCTACTCAGTACGGTTAGTATGTCTGGGTACCGATGTGCTTGCAATATGTTGATGGCCTGTGAATTAGTTGCAAGTGCCGTCGGCGTAAAATATAAATAGCCGCAAAGGGAGCATGAGATACATTCAGATCCAGACTCCACACTCTCATTATCGACTCCGCCAAACTCGATTGGCAATCCGTTCCAAAACGAGCTCTTCCGTCAGCATCTTTGAAATCGAGCCCCAACGAAACCATGCGATTCTCCATTGTTGCCGTCTGTAGCGTCGTTGCAGCCTTTGCTGGCACTGCGACCGCCGGTGTAAGTGAGCTCATGAGATAGATCTGGGCGTGCTAGATGAAAAAGGGCAGCGATAGCTAACGCGATGGCCCGGGTAGCTGATCGGCGATATAAAACTCGATAACATCAAACTTGTGAGCGACGGGGCCATACAAATCGGCCAAGACGGCATTTTGAGGTCCAACACAGGGGATGGAAGCGTTATTGATCTTATCAAGCTCAGCCCGACGCAGCTGACCTCTTTCCTCGATCTGCTCAAGCTGGGCAAGGGGAAACGGACAGGTGGCACGGTGATGGCGGCCAGGGAAAGGCGAGTGCCAAGGGAGCTTGCGGCCCGGTGCACAAAGGCAGCATGCAAGAATAACGGCGATTGTCAGGCTGTCAACTGTCGGGCGTGTGTTGAGACGACGTGCTTTTAGCCAGAGCATGTAGTGAACTTGCAGAGTCCAAGGGAAGCGATAGCAGGGTTGATTATTAAGCACTAGGAGAGAAATAAAATTAGTACAACTATTACTAAGCAATCTTACATAATTAAATAAACACGCTAGTCTGTAAACGGCGTAGCGCCCCTTCCGAACGCGCCAAGACCAAAACAGACTTCGGACGGGAGGGCAAACCGCCAGCAACCAGCGCGACAGCGACATCGAACGGCGACGACGGACGGGCTGATAGCTGAACAGCATCTATATATCTCTGGCGGTGCGACCTCTCGCTGCGCCGACTTGGAACTGGCGCACTGCAACGTTGCTGGGAGTGCAGTGCCTCATCGCAACGGTCAGACCCGGACTGGAACACAACCCATACACCGGCCATCGGCCTCGCGATGATGAATTAGGCGTCTTATTCCATTGAGCCACTTCATCTCCTGCTGGTGGAGCTCTAAGCCCTTTCGACGCGATCTGCGATTCCCCAACTGGCAATACAACCACTCGGTCCCACCGCTCTGCGCATTCCATCTCCCAAGTCACCGATACTGACTGGTGCCTCCTTTATCCTGGACATGACCACCATCCTAGCTCCTACTCGCGCCAGCACGACGAACAAAATTACGCTGCATTCGCGTTTGGACGACGCAGTGAATCGCACGCTCAGAAGTGGTGACTGGGCCCATTCTCGCGCCACGGACAACCAATTCCATAGCCAGACCGCCAGTAGAAGCGCGCTTATAGGCTTTCGCGGGCTGCAGTCGCCGCCGACCGTCTCGATACTGGAGGGGCGGGTGGCAATGTCACAGGCTCGTGTTCAAGAGAAAGATGCGAAGGCCCATAGCCGGGCGAAGAGTGGCCCAAGAGAAGCGGGGAAGGAGAACCATATTGTGAACGGCTGGAGCGAGGCGGCGATGAAAAGGAAAGCCTGTAAGTTCTAAGACTCTGCCATTATGGACAACTCTTAAGAAGCACATTTGACATTTGCCGAATCCTGTCGCTCTAGTGGACTATGAAGAGGATATCGAGGGATTTCAATTCTCACGCACGTCGCGTTCAAAGAAGCCTCGGCCCTCCCCCGAACCATTGCCAAAAGATAGAGCCCCCCAGAAAGTAGCCACTCAGGGACGATGGGAGAAAGGCAAAGCTATCAAATCAGGCGATAGAGCGAGCCTGGCTCCAGACACGCCGAATGGGCAGGATACACGCCGGAGGTCAAAAAGACTAGCTAGTGATGAACCAGAAAGACCTTCGTCGTCTAGAAGGAAACTCCAGCTACCTGATTCAACGGAAGACCAGCCAATGACAAAAAAGGGTAAATCTGCCCGAACAAAAGCTTCAGAAATGCGCCCGCAGGTAATAGAGGATATCGAAGAGCGAGCTACCCCACAACCGCCAGCAGAGATCAAAGTCGCCCTTCCTTTCGCCGATACACCCGTCATACAGCGCAATAAGGACATGAGACAAGAACGGGGAAGGGGTAAAAGACGAAGTAGCTTTGGAATGAGGGGCAGAAGGGCAAGCTCATTGATTGATTCTGGGGCATCGAATGGTAAACATATTCCGGATCCAACGCATGGCCGTGGCTGATAATTGGATAGCTCTACCACATGACAAGGTCGATACGGCGGACTTTTACAAACATATCGAGAGCGAGGATTTATCCGAACCTAGACGAATGCGACAATTATTGACTTGGTGTGCGACTCGGGCAATAGGCGAAAAGCCTTCTGGTTCAAGGTCCGAGGACGAAAGCGCAAAATTAGCAGGTATTCCGCCGCCGCCATACCCCCATTGGGAACTAAGGGATGTCACACTGACGCTGTGTTGTCCTAGCACGAGTCATACAGGAGGAAATCCTTAAGGAACTTTCCAACCGATCGGAGTTGTCGGATTGGTCCAATCGTGAAGAAACCGCGTCACCGGCTGTGGTTGTAAAAAAGCCGAACCCGAAGAATATTCAAAATGCAGAAAAGATCAAGGAGTTGGAGGAGCATATTCTGCGGTAAGTGCGCTTGGCTGCCTCTCTAGGCAGCGCGCTGTTGGATGCTTGATGCTAAGAAGTAGGTAGACTCCAAGCCGAACGCCAATCTCTCTCTGCTCTTCTTCGCGCGCCATCGATACCAAGCCTAAAACCCTTGCCTGCTTCGGAGAAAGCTGAGAAGAAGCAACAATCCGAGTCAGAGCCTCAACCTTCTCCAATTGATTCTTCGCTACTCGATCCCTCTCAGCAATCGTTGCTAGATCTTACCCAAGCACCTATTTTTCCTCCTCAACCACACTCTCAGCCGTTTGTCCCTTCGGATCTCCAAACGCCGCTGGATACATCAGATCCCGTATTGTCATTAACTACGCACCTGTCATCACTCTCGTCGTCTCTTGCGCCGATATTGGATTCGTTCGCCGCAGGGATCCATCACCTTGAATTATACCGCTCTGCTGCGGACAATGTTGCCGGCGGCGTTCTTAGGGCTTGCGCGAAAAGGTTGGAAGAGAGAGACCTTCGCGCCTCGGAGAAATCATATGTATTTAGAGAGGTGAAGAGTGAAGGCGAGGAAGGTGAAGGAGGTGGCGGAGGCAGGATCGTCAAAACAGAAATCGAGAGAGAAGACTTGAGACCTGTTTTGGGGGCGTTGAGCCGGCTAGAAAGAAGATGAACAATTCTGATCATTTTACATGAAGCGGCACTCTTCCTGTTTTACTTTTCCGAGTCTATATAGGTCCCCTTTCAGCCAACTAATGGCCAATGGGCGGAATCAATGAATCGCTCCGAAGATCATTTCAACCCCGAAAGAAAAAAGGCAGCTTGATGCGCTATGAGCTGCGGATCTCTAGCTATGTAATTATCATCTTACCTAGACAAAGAGGTTGCTCCCGAACACGGAGTTGGAAAGGAGATCAATCAACTCTCCTGTCAGCTCTACCCCAGACTTCATCCATGGTTGTTTTCCCCTTCGTCTCCGGCACCCACCAAGCAATAAATCCACCTAAGGTCAGTGCCATGCCGGCAAAGACCCAATAGACCTTCCCTTTCCCTCCTAAAGCGACATTCAATGCTGGGAAAAACTGTGCCACAATAAACGTTGCTACCCAGTTTGTCGCCTGCGCCCAACTCTGTGTTGCACCTACGGCTTCCGGGCCGACGAGCTCAGACGCAAGGATGAAAGGGACCGGGCCTAGGCCAACGGCAAAACTTGCTACAAAGAGCAGGGTAGAGATAGCAGAAAGGAGCTTGAGGTTAGAAGCAATGCTGATAGCTAGGAGAGCAGAAGACACGCCCATTCCCGTTATGCTAAGAAGAAGGCACTTCTTCCGACCAAGCTTGTCGGCAAGGGGCGCGCAGAGGAGAGTCGTGAAAAGGTTGATGGAAGAAACAATGACAGTAAGAAGAGCGGCAGTGGTTGGAAGGATGGTGGAGAGGAGAGATACGCTGTACATGATGATGCTATTTATTCCCGTAAATTGTTGGGTTATCATTACAGCAACAACGGCAATTATGGCCCGGCGATAAAGAGGATCGCGAACCACGCCGAAGATGGAGACGGGCGGTTTCTTGGGTGGAAGATTTCCTGGCGGAAGGGTTAGAAGCGATTCTTCCTCTGTAGTATCGGTGGAGGAGATATTGATTTGCCAGTTTTTGATCTCAGCATGTATATCGGCGTTTTGGCCCCGAATTCGCTGGAGGATCCGTTTGGCGTGGGCTAAACGTTGATGCTCTGCTAGCCAGATCGGGCTCTCGGGGACGAACAACAGACCAAGAAGGTCTGCTAGGCCGATGAAGCCTGCAACTGCAAGAATGATACGCCAAAGGATCCCCTTACTCAAGAAATACCCTAAGGACTGCGTCGCAAGGATGCCCACATTCGTCATGACCTGCGTGAAAGCGCCAAAAAAGCCCCTATCTTTAGGAGGGGCGATTTCGGCAATGTAGATTGGCCCGACCACGATCGCTGCTCCGGCTCCCACTCCAGATAGTAGTCTCCCGGAAACAAACACCGGAATGCTGGGCGCTAGGGCTTCAGCAATTGGCCCAAGCACGAAGAAAAGAGTCGTGGCTCGCAACGCGAGTACGCGCCCATACTTTGTGGACAATGGACCAGCGAGCAAGGCTCCGAGCAGACCACCCAGGGTATAGCTCGACGAGACGAGGCCGAACTGCGACGGGTTCATGGGAATACATTGAGGAAGTCCGCCGGACGATGAAGCGAGGCCAAGCCAGGACGACTGTATGCTCTTCTTTTCGCAGGTAATCACCGCTTGAGGCGCATTTAACTCAGCCTGGATTGGACTGTCAGTGTATTACTGCACAGGTCAGGCCACAACAAGGAAGGCGATCCAAAGATCTCGCTGGGAACGGCAAAGGGCAGAGAGGACGCTTTACCAGGTGATATCCGAACTGCAGCGGCCCCAGCGTCGTGATCAGGACGAGGAAAATGAGATACGGCGTGGCCCTGGCCTCCGACAAACGCGATGGTTCCATTGCAGGCTAAGAAATGCGGCTGGTCTTCTGTTGACGAGAAGCATCACGGCAATGCTGCATGGAGTCGGTGATGTTGATGTTGAATCAACCTCCCACGTGACTGGTTGCGATGGGCGGTTTTGCTATCTATCCAACAACCTCAACGCCCAACCCTCGCCGCATCAACCTCGCTCACGCTTGAGCCGGGGCCAACCAGACATGAAATATGAGCTTTAGCAGCCTGCCTCCCTCGAGCGGGAGGGGCTCGCTCGCAGATGCTGCGTCAGGACGGTCAATGCCACCGTTCCCCCGATCATCCTCATCCTTCACCGGCAACACCAGCAAGGGGATACACCCGAACCTGACGCTGAAGCGGAGTGTCCAGCAGTCTTTTGACGGTAATGCACCCTATTTTCTTTTTCCGCCTGTTGAGACCGATTGTACAGGCGTCTGCTGCCAAACCGCCAAAATTGGGCGCTTCTTTCCTGCGCTCATTGCAACCAAATGCCGCTTCCCCTCTACCTGGGAGGCGTCTTGCTCTCCCTTTCCGCCATGGCTTCCCCTTTGAGTTGTCTTTATTTTATCCTCTACTTGCTGCAATCCATCTCTGGCTTTTGCTGCGTCTTTATGTTCGAACTTGCGGAGAATGGAGCCTTCTCATGCAGCTCAGCATCATCACCACTGGGCCGATTTTCCCTGCTGGGAAGAGCTTTATTACAGTTCAGTGAATCCTGACCACTCGGTGGATGTTGTTCCTCACCACTTGAATCCACCTCCGCCCTTTAACAGTCGCCCTCCTCCTCGGCTAATTCAACCTCTGCCGGAACGGTACCTTAATCCTGTCGAAGCTACTGCTAATTTAGGCTCCTCGATAGAATCATCAGAAAGCAAAAAGGCCTCCCCGTTTTCATATACTAGCAAAGTCAAAATCCGTGAAAAGTACCTCATTGTCGGTTTTATCAGCAGCGGCACATACGGCCGTGTTTACAAGGCCAAAGGCAAAAATGGCCAGGTAGGAGACTTTGCTATCAAAAAGTTAGGTGCTGCCACTCCAGCAAAGGGCCATCGACTGACGCCAACACAGATTCAAGCCGGACAAGGAGGGAGAAAAGATAGAATACACTGGACTCTCTCAGTCGGCCATCCGGGAAATATCTCTCTGCACTGAACTGAATCACCCTAATGTTGTTCGTTTGGTGGAAACCATACTGGAGGATAAATGCGTTTATATGGTGTTTGAGTACACGGAGCATGACCTCCTGCAAATCATTCACCATCATACGCAACCTCAACGACATGCAATCCCCGCCCCAATGGTCAAATCGATTCTCTTCCAGCTTTTAAATGGACTGCTGTACCTTCACACCAATTGGGTCATGCACCGCGATTTGAAGCCAGCAAATATTCTTGTTACTTCCAAAGGTGCTGTTAGAATTGGTGATCTTGGGCTTGCTCGGGTGTTTCGCAAGCCTCTGAACACACTGTTCTCCGGGGACAAGGTTGTTGTGACCATCTGGTACCGCGCGCCTGAATTACTCCTTGGAACTCGACATTACACCACTGCCATTGACTTGTGGGCCGTTGGTTGCATTTTTGCTGAGCTCCTTTCTCTACGCCCCATATTCAAGGGCGAGGAAGCAAAGATGGATAGCAAGAAGACCGTCCCTTTTCAGCGTAATCAAATGCTGAAAATCATTGAAATCCTTGGCTTACCTAAAAAGGAAATATGGCCGGGATTGGCCTCAATGCCGGAGTTCCCCCAACTTCAAGCACTATCCATGGCCTCCGGATCTGGTCATTTACATCAACCGTCCACTCTGGAGCATTGGTATACCGTCTGCCTTAAATGCGGTGGCTATGCTACGAACTCCCCCGCCGGCACTCCGGGGAAAGAGGGATTTGACCTGCTTTCGCGATTGCTTGAGTACGACCCAGACAAACGAATCACAGCGAAAGAAGCTCTGTCGCACCCTTACTTTACCACTGGCACACCCGTGACGAAAGATTGCTTTGAAGGGTTTGAGGGCAAATATCCCAACCGGCGGGTAAGCCAGGACGATAATGATATTCGGACTAGCAGTCTTCCAGGAACCAAGAGGAGCGGCCTACCAGACGACACCTTAACCGGTAGGGCGGCAAAGCGGGTTAGGGAGATGTGAAATATTGTATAATGAGGGTAGACGTTAGCAAGTTTACGAATTATATGATGAAGCATTGATGGCGTTGGGATTGCAGGGAGAGATTTTAGGATCTGCTTTTTTATTTCCTTTAGGGAAAAATACCGTGTAGGATGGCGAGCAACTCCCCTGGTACCTATGTTGCTAAACATGGGACAACCATGGCTGCGGCATTGATTGAGTTCAATATTCTGGTCTATCGCCATCTGAACGAGTCAATTTAATTCAATTTGATCTGGCGACACTGTTTCTCTGATTTGGCTGACTTGGCGATGCCGCCGTTGACGTAGTTATTCCTGCAGGGATCATTGGAACCGGCATTCAAAATACTACGTCATCAGCCACTGATATAAATACTGATTCCAGCGCATCGCACCAGAGAGTCGGTTGGTTTAGCATCCCGAAACAAAATCACTCCTCAATCTGAAAAGTTGATAACTGAAAGCCCTCGTACGTACACTCATACTCTGAGTTGGGATCCGAAAAGAAAGGAGCTCTGAGACTCAACGCTGACGATTGCTGACGCAGCCAGAAGTGAGAAGCAACAAATCTACCGATCAACAACCTCGTCCCCGAGGAATAACCAGACATCCAAATCCTGTTCCGCGAGATCTTCGAGTCTCAAAAAACACCGATCAAAATGCCATTTTTCTACTCCAAACGGTTTGGTGGGCGACACGTCAATACGGGCGTCACCGTTAGTCGACATGGTGTGAGACGACAACCGTGGGGGTTCAGGCTGGGGAGGTGTATGTGCTTTCGGTGAGAGGCGTCGCCTTGTAAGGGGCAGGCAAAGATAGGACTTGTTTGAAAGACATTACGAGCAGGCAAAGAGGTGTATTAAGGGTGGAATATATTGTTCTGACTGTGACCGTTTGGTCCATATGATATCCGTTTGAGCTTACCCGCTATTGTTGAATGCGAAATCAATTTTCGAGATGTGGCCGTGAGATTACATTTACAAATAAAGAACTTTCCATGAGCGTTTCAATATCCTAAACACGGTGTGGTTAGAACCCGGAGAGGTGTACTAGCGCATCCTAGGAAGGGGAATTAGCTTACCACTTTGTTCCCGTCGCGAGTCTCCATCGCCTTCGCCGCCTCCATCTGCGCCATTTCTCTTTGCGCCAGCCTCTCTGATAGCTTCCTCATCACCTCTCAGTTTCTCGAAGTACGCTTTGATATCCTCCGCCCCGACAGGCGTGCCGCTCTCTGCAAACGGCTGCAGAAACTCCTTCACTTTATTCTTTAGGTGATTGTAAACCATGACACCCTCGATTGCTCGGACTCGGTCTAGATTGCTCAATGCTGCCTCTCCACGGTCAAGTAAACTGCCCGTGTGTTGACTGCCTGCGCTGCGAGCGGGATGCTCACCGTCGTCGGCTTCAGAAAGAGGGGGCTCATAAGTTTCCTCCTCTTCGCGAAGCTGAGGATGCGGGATTAACAAAGGAAAACAAGCGGCACAGTGGCAGAGGTGATCACGGAAGTCGTCCTTGACGAAGAGAGAGAATGTTCCCCTAGGTGAGTCGGCGGGGAGGGAGTCGTGCTTTTGTTTGATGAGATCGGATTTCGCAAGGTTCTCCGACGGATTTTGGTCCGTAAGCTCGGCCTTTGGGCGCTTGATTTCAGGATCCTCTCCAACATCAGTCTCAAATTTCCTTTTTTTAGAACAATGTTCTGGGTTGAGTTCGGTTTCCATGGTGCCAACTGGCTGCATTGGAGATTGGCTGCGTTGAGACTCTTTGTACACCGGCGGGAGGAATCCTGTGGTACCAGCATATCGTTTCAACCATGAATTTGAATCTACACATTTGTAGCAAATGAAGGTTTCAAAGTCATCTTCGGCAGGAAAGCCAGGTGGTAGTGGAGGGTCATTGTCGCCATCATTCGCCTCTGCAGTAACATCATGCTCGCTTTCGTTTTCGAGCTGGTTTTCAGGTCTTCTACTTGAGATGTCATTCCAATTCCGGGGAAGGCCAAGGAGACATTCCGGATGATACCAATCTTCGCCACAGCCACCCGTCTCCACGGTGCCTAAGCCAAGACACTGGAACATTGTTCCCTTTTCTTTGCTGGGATCGTAGACTTCTCCGCAGCAGCAGAACTTATTCCGGAAATTTTGGTTATACTTATTGTCCGCGACTGGTTTTTCTGAGTGGACGGACTTCGCGCCACTTGTCGGGTCGGTCCGGAGAGTACATGGAGATGTCGAAGGAAGACGGGTAGAGCCGCAATCGCATACAAAATTGCGCTTGTTGAACAGCTCTACGAGGGTGTGTTCACCATGACAGGATATGGAACAGGAGTAGCACACGCCAGCCGCAGTGTACGGGGATTTCGGATCGCTAGGCGGTGGGTTACAAGTCAAGCAAGAAAAGAGGCTTTGTCGTAGGGCACCCAGAGGTCGAGTACAGGAATCGAACGACTGGAATGATTAGCTGTGATTGTGCAGGGCGCAGAACAGCGCAAACCGGGTATGCTCACATATGGCAGGGCTTCACGCGCATCAGCTTCCAGCCTGAGCTGTTCGTTGATAAACCTGTCATAATCATCGCATCAGCATCATCTGCGTCGCCAAGTGAGCAGCATCTAATGAGAACGCGTGATACTCACTCCGCGGCCGTCTGCGAATTCTGAGAAGCAAGACTCGGCCGTCGAGCTCTTCCTTCAGCCTCCCGGGGCGACTCAGCGGGCGTTGCTGACACTGGCGCATCCATGGCACGGGTAAGGAGAAGAGGCAAGAATAGGTCGAGGGCTCAATGCTGTGTTTGAATGGTTTGTCGACTGATATGGAACGATTGCGGTGATTCCTGAGCGCGTCCGCGATGCCGTTAATGGGCTGTTTGCACTGTTTGCCGCGGCACTGTTTGCGCTGTTTGCTTCGTAAATGGAAAACGCGTCAAAACGCGTCAATCGAGTTTCCCTGACGCGTGGTGAGCGCGTGCTCGAGAGTGGTTTCATCCCTCAACGACACCCACCGCCCGACTCCTTTGGTTCATTCTCGCAGTCAAATCCAACAAGCCAAAAATATCGTACGTTTGGCACAAGTCATTGCAATGAGGTATGTTTCCACTCAATGAGTGCCGGGCATTCTAACTGTTGTCTAGTTCCCCATTGCGCCCAAGCATCTCGGCTGCGAATCGCGGCCCAAATCCTGTCAACAGGAGAAAACGGTCCCGCGAACGAGATGACGATGTTTCCTCAGCACCTCCACCCTCCAGCCGTGTGTACCTTCTGCTTTATATCGCGCAGGACTTTGGCTAACGGGTTTCCAGCCCCCCCCTCCTCCCCTCCACTTCTCCCCATGGACGACGACGAGGACGAAGACATCGCACAGGAGGAAGGATTTCGAGACATTGACGACATCGATGAGATGGCCGAAGATGAAGACGGGATTGACCTTTTTGCTGACTCTTTCGAACGCGATTACGAGCTGCGCGATGGTGACAATTACGAAACAGCGGGGATCGACGACGATGGGGACCATGAAGAACTAGATGCTGCCACCAGGCGGAAACTAGAAGCCCGATTGAATAAGCGCGATCAAGAACTCGCCCGAAGAAGGAAAATGCCAGCAGCATTTTTGCAAGAAGACGACTTTGATGCGATTGACCTATCCCAACTTCGAAGAGCCAGACACAACTACGATGAAGCGCGATCGGACATAGATATGGACAACCCGGACGAGGAACTCACGCTCGAAGATATGGCGGATATCAAGGCCGACAATGTCACCGACTGGGTAGCCTCTCCAGCCGTGCACCGCGCCATCTACCGAGAATTCAAGTCCTTTTTAACGGAATTCACGGACAAGGATGGGATTTCCGTCTACGGCACTGCCGTGAAAAATCTTGGTGAAGACAACTCGGAATCGTTAGAGATATCCTATCCCCACTTAAGCGAGGCGAAATCGATTATAGGCTTCTTTGTTGCCAACGCCCCTGCCGAAGTACTTAGGATTTTCGACACCGTAGCCATGGAGGCCGTTCTACTACACTATCCCGATTATCAGCGCATCCATAGCGAGATCCACGTCCGCATTACTGATCTCCCCGTCAGATACAATCTCCGACAGCTGCGACAGAGTCATCTCAATTGCCTTGTCTGCGTAACGGGCGTTGTTACTCGAAGAACTAGCGTGTTTCCTCAGCTCAAGTATATCATGTTCAACTGTACCAAGTGTGGTGTGACTCTCGGTCCCTTTGAGCAGCAGGATTCGTCTTCTGAGCTTAAGATCAGTTACTGTCAGAATTGCCAGGGCCGTGGGCCCTTCACTCTCAATTCAGTAAAGACCGAATATCGGAACTATCAGAAGCTAACCCTGCAGGAATCCCCTGGGTCAGTCCCCGGAGGACGGCTCCCACGCCATCGTGATGTAATTCTACTGGCGGATTTGATCGACGCTGCGAAACCTGGCGATGAGGTTGAGATCACCGGTATCTACAAAAATCAATATGATTTACCCATGACGAATAAAACAGGGCTACCCGTATTCAGTACGATTATTGAAGCAAATCATATAAAAAAATCCCACGACCAACTAGCATCCTTTCACATCACGGAGGAGGACGAGGAGAAAATTCGAAAATTATCCCGAGATCCAAAGGTCATTGAGAGAATCATCAACTCCATCGCTCCCAGTATTTATGGGCATGAAGATATCAAAACTGCAATCGCGCTATCGTTGTTTGGTGGAGTCAGCAAGCAGGCTCAGGGGAAAATGAATATCCGTGGAGATATCAACGTCCTATTACTTGGAGATCCCGGTACTGCCAAATCCCAGATGCTGAAATACGTCGAAAAGACCGCACATCGGGCCGTTTTTGCGACAGGTCAGGGTGCCAGTGCTGTCGGTCTTACGGCGAACGTCCGGCGAGATCCAATGACCAACGAATGGACCCTGGAGGGCGGCGCGTTAGTCCTCGCGGATCGGGGAACGTGCCTTATCGACGAGTTCGACAAGATGAATGACCAGGATCGGACATCCATACACGAAGCAATGGAACAGCAAACCATTTCAATATCCAAAGGTGGTATTGTGACGACGCTCCAGGCCCGTTGCTCTATCGTCGCTGCGGCCAATCCAATCGGCGGCAGATACAAGGGAACTATTCCTTTCTCCCAGAACGTAGAGCTCACTGAGCCTATTCTCTCCCGTTTCGACATTCTCTGCGTCGTGCGTGATACTGTCTATCACGCCGAAGATGAAAGGCTTGCTAAATTCGTCATGAACTCTCATTACAAATCGAATCCCCTTCGCGACTCGCAGGGAGAACCAATCCCGTGACGAGGATGAATCAAACGAAATGGACCCAAGATACTGATGAGCAACAAAAGCTGAGCCGATCCCCCAGGAGCTGCTACGAAAGTATATCGTTTACGCCAGACGAGAATGCCGCCCCAAGCTATACCAGATCGACCAAGGCAAAGTTGCAGATGTTTTTGCGGATATGAGAAAGGAAAGTCTAGCAACCGGCGCGTATCCTATTACGGTAAGTTTCTATCAAGGGTGGTTTATCCCCTGTGTTCCACTGACCGAGAAAACATAGGTTCGCCATCTTGAATCCATCATGCGTATCGCGGAGTCATTTTCGAAAATGCGGCTTGCCGAATATTGCACGTCGGCGGATATTGATCGCGCTATTGCAGTGGCTATCGAGTCGTTCGTGGGTAGTCAAAAAGTTAGCTGTAAAAAGGCCCTCACAAGAGCATTTGCAAAGTATGCTCTTCCTGCCCCTACATTCTTCTGTTTGTGTGGACGATGGCTGATGTTTGGTATCTAGGTACATGCTCTCTAACCCCAGATCCCAAAACCAAAGCAGAGCTCCTCGACGCAGAACAGCGAGAGAGGGTTGAGGAGATGAGTCGTACACGGGAGTATGGTTCGAGTCTTTTTTGCTGGAGTTGCCTGGTTTATACATTTGGGCATGGGGTTTGTTTTCTTGCGGGACTTTCACGATTCTCCAGATGGCATGGGAATGGTAACTAGGATTCAGAGGTCAATATCACGACCTGAGAACTATAGGGCGTTGCAAACAAAAATACGCTCGTGGTGTGTGTTGGTCTGGGGACTTTTGACGAATATTAAATACCAACAGCGGAAGAATAAAAATGCTAAATCACATATTCATTTCATATTTAAGTATCTCATATGTTGCCGGCCAAAGTTAACAAGCGATCTGATGGAAAGGAAAACATACCGTCATTCATGATGGAATGCGAGGGTCCGCTCTGGAGTCATCTGTACAAAAATAACTCTCAAGACATTGGGCGAGATCCGCCAGCGACTTACTTCAGAGCCACTAGTCAGTCGCTCTCCGCATCCGCAGCGGCTGCCTGAAAAGAAAGGTCCTTGACCCACAGCCCGGTTCCATCATGCCTCCAGCGCCCGCGCAGCCGGCCATTCATCTTTGCGACGATGCCGTCCTTTAGCGCTTCCAGCTCGAAATCCCACGTCCGAAACCGCTCAAGCTTTCCCTGCACCCCTAGATATCTCACAGAATGAGAGATCAGCGAGTAACCCGTATCCAACTCCATCCAGGGATCGTTGGGATCCAAGCTTCCAAATTCTTGCTCCTCCGAGAAGACACGACGGAGGTTTTGGAGCGATGGTGCTAGTTGAAAACTGAGGTACCGAAGGTTTGTCATGTTCCGGATTACTTTGAGCACCAAGTTGGTATGGTTGTAAAATGGGAATATGGAGGTGTATTGAAAGGAAGTTAGGCGGGAAATGACCGATACTGGGTAGGGCAGCGTTGCATTTTGAAGCGGATCAACTGAGCCCCAGTGGTCCATCAGAGACGGCAAGCGGAGAAGATAGTACTCATAGTTCCGGTAGGCTTTGAGGGAAGAACCTTCGTTGAAGAGGATTTCAGTCCAGGCCCGAACGGTGAAAAAGGACTCGGACATGGGATTCTCTGGGGGCGTTGGTGGTTGCGCGGGGGATCCCATACGAGGAATGCGTTTTCGGCGTGGCTGTCGAAAATGTAGGATCTGCAGTGGCACATCAAACGCCCACGCATGTGTCCCTTCCAAGCTAACCTGAGCGATGTCCGCAAGGAAAAACGGCGGTGCGATCAGTGTGATTGTCTCCGGGTCGACTTGTTCCAGTAGCTGCCTCCACCAGAACGCCTTCTCGCTGCCGGGGAAGATGGAGCGTACGGATATCACAAGCGACCGCACATGGTGGCTTAGACTATACCGCTGGAGAAATAATAGAAACCGGTCTTGGTCCCGAAGCTCATAGCGAGAGTAGGCGAACAAAAAGGGACGTGACAAGGCGCGGAGCCGTGAAGCCGTGCGGGCAACAGCCTTCAGGTCGCTCGTGGGCGAGGCGGAGATGTTGTGGTCGGGGATTTCACGAAGATTGTGACGGGACGGCGAGGTATTGGGGGATAGAAACGAAAGAATATGATCGAGCAATTCGTTTGGCAAAGAGAAGAGGGCTGTTGGCTGTGGGTGATCCATGGTTGAGCAGTGCGAGTGGTGAGGTTGAGGCTGCTGGGATGTCGAGAGATGAACTAGGTTATGGAGTAGTTAGGTGCATCATCAAGTGACTGAGTGGCCACCAGCCAGCCGCCAGTTTGGGTTCACATCGAGCCAGCTACATGATTACTCTGTTAAAGAAGATAAAGCAATACAAAGTAATATATATTACAAAGATCACTGTGGAGAGGTCCAATATGGGATTTTGAACGTTTGACGGTTGGACTTGGGTGCTACTCATGCTGAGGATTGCAGATATCAAATGCCTTAACGGAAAGATTCGCCGACTCGATGCAACAGAGGAAATCGCATCAGCATGCGTTTCGATTGGCATTTGCCAACAACTATCGGCACGCAGACATTGAAGCTCCCAGGCCGCCAAGTTTTCATGTCGCCGACCTGGCATAAATGCGCATGGAGCCCTAAATGGTGAGCAGAGGCTTGTTGGATGAAGGGGATGTTCTGGCGAAGGTGCGCGAACAGCTTCACGGGTTTTGGGTGGTATTCGAGGGCAATGAGGATGTTGGTTTCTTCTTCTCTGGCCCAGGAGTACGTGACTTCGCCTTTCATCTTGCGATGTGTTCGAGCCATCTTGTCATCGTCCGCAAGCATGCCCTGCCCTTGCTCAGCGGCATCGTCTCGACGTGTTGGCCTGCGATGTTATATTCACATAACGCTGGCGATTGCACCCAACAGAAACGCAGTCGTCGATTAAATAAAATGAAATTATCTGAATGTCTTCAAAGATAAAGCCCCATATATGACTTAGGCAGTCTTAGAGTGTAAGGATACCCAATCACAGTATCTAGAATACACCCTGTGTGAAAAATCCCCAAGCCTCTTCAGTGTTCTTATATGATTGGAGAATCTTTGGTAAATAGGTTGAAGCCCATTCCTCCCATTGGAAAGTTGTAAAGAGCGCTTTGCGTTCTTCCCAGTACTCAGGCAGCCAGCCGCTCTGCTCCCAATCAATGATGCCAACAACATGTGGCTGCGGAGTTAATTTCACAATGATGTTGCTTCGATGAAGGTCACCATGTGTAAACTTGATAGCAGCATCATCAGGTAGTTGATAGCGAATCCAGTCAAAATTGACACAGTAGGGATCCGGCATTGGGCGTCTGCATAAAAAGGAAAACCAATCATGAAACTCTTTAACAGATGAGAAAGGTCCTGATTCAGCCTGATATTGTACACTTATTGCCCTGTCAAAGAAGTTCGACCGATTAATGTTCCCTAATAGATGCATCAGATATAGTCACTTCTCAGTTATAACAATCAGCTGGGGAATACCAATAAAGCAGTCTTTTGGACACTGCTCAAGCTGGCGAAGGTTGTCAAAGCTTGTCTTAAGCTCTCGACAAATGGTGTTGCGCTGATTATCATTCATAGTATCCCACATCTTGTCTAGCGTTTGGCCTTCAAGCGCCTCCATATAGATATATGTATAGCTCCCCTCGGTTCTCCAGCCATAAATCTCGGGTACTGGAACAAAGCCTTTCAGGAAGTGATTGATAGCATAAAGGCATTGACCTTCTGCAATGCTAACTGCGCCTCCCCACTTAACAAACAGTCCGAGAGATTCGAAGACAGCTGGCGGTGGTTTGTACAAGTCCAGTCCAGCTGAAAACCCTCTTCGTTTATCCACAGATTTTCCTTGTAAATGCTGAGCTCGGGCTTGGGCTTGAACTTCCACTGGTGGCGGGAGACGATCAAACCGCCGGAAAAAAGAAGAGTCTCTGAACTCTGCGTTGGCGTCATTGGGAAGCATAGCAGGGGTTATCCTGACCGGGCCTTATATTTTTCGGTAATGATTTCATTGTCGAGTTTTGGTTTAGAACTCACCGGAAAGGGGTGGAATGGCGCCAGGTGCCCGCATGATTAGAAGAATGTTTGAGGGAAGATGGTCACAACCATATTGTACTGACTTGATAGTTGATACCCATCTTGCTTCTTTTTTCCTGCCGGACGTTGGCTGCACGTGATCGCCGTTTCAGAGCGGCGCTTAGTCAGCTTCCCCTGGCGCTTGCCCCTTTTCAGCCTTGCACCGTTGCTCTCTTCCTGCACGGCGCATCAACTCCGTCCACAGCGACCATACTGTCTGCTCCAGTTTCCCGCCCGTTCTCTGCTGCTCGAGGCTGACCTAGGCGCACTGCAACCCACCTTTTTCCCTACGGCGCCGTCTTAACGCGAGGACGATCCGATCCCCAGGCCATTGCACACGGCAAGGCTGTCAACATGGGGGGCCAAGTCTCGAAACTGATGGGCAAGATCTTTGGATCAAAGGAGATGCGTCTGCTCATGCTTGGTCTTGATGCGGCCGGAAAGACTAGTAAGTTCCGCCTACCGCCCGGAGTGAGCCGTCAATGGGCCACTGACGCGTCGATTTCTGCAAACAGCCATCCTCTACAAACTCAAGCTCAACCAGGACGTCACCACCATTCCTACGGTCGGCTTCAACGTTGAATCGGTGACCTACAAGAACGTCAAGTTCAATGTGTGGGATGTTGGTGGCCAGGACAAGATCAGACCGCTGTGGCGGCACTACTTCTCGGGAACCCAGGGTCTGATCTTTGTGATCGATTCCAATGACCGCAGCCGCATTGACGAGGCGCGCCAAGAGCTGCACAGAATTATTCTGGATCGTGAGATGAAGGAGGCTTTGCTGCTGGTCTTTGCCAACAAGCAGGATATCAAGGGAGGTGGGTGAATTTACTTGATGTGCTTTCCCGCCCCCACCTTTCAATCCATGCTCACCGCTCCCTAGCCATGGATCCGAAGGAAGTCACTGAGAAACTCCAATTGAACCAACTGAAAGACCGGATATGGTTTGTTGTTCCAAGTTGTGCAACAACAGGCGAAGGACTGTTTGAAGGATTGGTTTGTCCCAACCACCCTGATTTCTAACACACTAGATGCTAACCAATACCAGGCTTGGCTCTCAAATAATGTGAAGACTCAACAGCAAAGACAGGGTAAATAATGTGCCAACTGAGAATGTCCATGTTTTTGTTTGCTGTGAGATTGATTTTCAACTTCCACCCTTTATGATGCTCGTCTGACATGATAATTGCGCCGTTCAATACACCCCCTTCCGCAACCTGTTTATGTTGGGCTATGTTGTAATAATAATGGTTGATGTGACACATGCATATGCTTTCTTGACCTTGGTTGGGAGTTTTATGACCTCTGTTCTGATTTCATCCTGTCTCTCTGGTTTGTCTCTATTGCTGTTGTAAGCAGGCCTCTTCTATCTTAAGTGATATCCCTTCTGTTCTCTTGCTATCAATGCATTTGCTTTCATGATCCCCTCTTCCTTTGTTTATACTACAGTTTGTAATATACATTCCCTTGTGCCGTGCGCCGAAAGGCCAATAGTCAATAGATAAAGAGAGTCCAAATGCAATCATAGGCTTTCATTACCAGAAATCAACAATTGCGCTCCAACAAACCAGCCCGCTAGCACTAGGGGTATCCTAAAGTATACAACTCCCGTACTCCGTAAAAAAATGCCAATATTTTCTATCTCCCGACCATCCGATATCTCTCTCTTGCCATACCCCCTTCCGCTCCCTCGATGCCGAAGCCCTCGCCCACTTCACCAACCACTCTGGCCGGCGCCCCGCCAACGACGCAGAAACTCGGTACCACCATCCCCGGAGGGACAACAGCGCCATCGAGGACAACCACAAAATCTTTGAGAATCGCCATGCACCCCACCACAGCGTCCTTGCCAACGTGAACATGGTTCCCAATAGTGGCCGCTTCAATCACGCTGCGCTCGCCAATGAACACATGGTCGCCGATCTTGAGAGGATAGTATGAGTGAACACCTCGATTCAGACGAGATGGCGGGCGTAGGAGACAGGAGCGCGAGAGATAAGTGTAGCGGCCGATGCTGACGGCGATGGATGGCGTGTTCGGGTTGCTGCTGGCAGGAGGGCCGGGTGCGGAGGACGTGTGTGGCTGTTGGCGGTAGAGGTCACCGCGGATGCATACATCTGCTTGAATGACGGTTTTACCACCCAGGATAATGTGTTGGGTGCCATGGACCTGATTCCGGCGGGATACTTTGTTGCCGGTGTCCTATCAGAAAAGCAGTTTGTCAGGTGCCAGTGTGGCGTGGTTGGGATAGCACCAGGTAACTGACAGTCTCAATGTATTCGCCCTTGAGAGCTTTTGCAGGCATGGCGAATGGTATGTGGCATTCCGCGTGAGAGGATAGGGAGTAAAGAGGTCGGGTCTCCTGAGATGTTTTGCTCTTCACACACTGGTGGAGCTTGGGAGTTTGGTCACGCCAAGATGCGTCTGGGACCAGACCCGAAATTCATTCACTGTTACTACTATAACTAATAAATAACTACGGAGCACTCCGTACGATTAGGGAATTATTACTACCTTATGATCTGAAGTACTTAGTATGTACAGTACAATCTCCGGAACAAGCTAAAGCCACTATACAATTGGATATCGGCTTTTTGGGACAAGCACGCATTAATCGAGAATCGGATCTTGTCAGTCTTTCATTCCATCCTCAGCTCTCAAGACGGTGCCTTTCTCTTCGGGAAGTCGGGCAATTCTCCATCAAAATGTACTTTAAAAGCTAGGACCGGTCAGCCTATGTGTCGCTAATCAAAATACCATCGCACGAGGATTTACTTACTCATGGGGAACACGAAGTAACTACCATGATCCTCGCGCATGTAAATGTAGAACCCGCCTGGTCTGGGAATTTTCTTCAATTCGCCTTGCGGCCCTGGCGCCCGGCGCAAATTCTTCAACTTTCCAACTACACGAAGCATCGAAGTCAGAGCTACCATGTTTGCATCTCGACCGAGACAAGTGTGTGGGCCTTGGCCATAATGGATATACGAGTCCAACGGCCGGTCGAGACGGACTTCGTTCGGATTTGGGAAGACATCGGGGTCGCGGTTCGCTGATACAAAGCTGACGAAAACTTTGTCACCTGCTTTGATAGAGACATGTTGACCATCGTCATCGACTTCCATCGCAGTTGCGGCTTCTCGATAAGAACCAAATGTGCCATTGAGTCGGATACCTTCCATGCAATAATGGAGGAGCTTGTCATCAGATTCGGGGGTGTCTTCTTGCGCGAGACGCTGTATTTCGGGGAGATGGATTCGGCCTTCATCAGAAAGGTAATAGTCCATAATTTGAGTAAACTAGGTACCGCCGAATGGAGACCAGTTAGTATGTAGTGGAGACCAGGCCGTGCCAGAACTATATACAGTGAGACTTACCACCTGCGCTTGATTAGGAACCATTGCCCCAGCTGTGGGCATAATCTGCGACCAAGCTACCTCCGAAACACTCAGCCCACTCGCGAGTAACCTTCGAATCATGTGAACTCCATAATCCTGTAATGCAGTTTCTGTTTTCCGGAAGCGATCTAGAAGCCCTGAAATCACACTTGTGGCTTTCACGCTTTTAACATACGCTTCAACAATCTTGCCCAATTGCTGCGCAACTGTTCGGGCGGCTTGCCGGAGGGGAAAGGATTTTGCGGGGTCAAGGTCGAAGAAAATACAAGTGAAAACGACACACATAATCATGAACATCTCATGCTCAGTATATATACCTCGCGGATTTTCTTCAGTTTTAAGTGGGAGAGAGAAGACATTGGAGGCGAAATGAACGTGAGCAAGATTCCCAACACTACAAATATGGTTAGTCAAGCAGTTGATATCTGCCGGTCTGGTAGTTCACTTACTCTCTGGTGATGTCAACCTGATGCACCCCAGCAATTGTGCATGACTTCTGCTTAAGGAGTTTGATAGTAATGTCCTCATAAAACTCCTTCACCTGCTGCTTCCATCTTTCTTGAAACAGCGCCTTGCCCATGACTTGCCGTTGTTTCGCATGCTTGGGCGAGTCTCCAGAGAGCATGAAATTCAAGCCCTCCTTGCCAAATAGAAATCCAGTTGCTTCGCCCCATGTCACACGAAAATCTCTTGCATTTTCCAAAACAGTTTTAGCGCCGAGATATGATGTTAAATTGATGCGAGGTGGAATGAATGACGGCTTTTCCCAGGAGAAATGGTTCTCTCTACCTAGTGTTGCAAAAATCTTTCTATTCTCGCTGGGAATGGTCATTGGATAGTGGGCGTAGATGGAGTCGGGCTGGAAGTGATTCGGAAAAGCACGGAGCATCAGCTTATAGAACATACAGCCTTGGTTGATGTTTAGGTCATAATGAGTTTCAGAGAAACCCCAATTAGTCAAGTTCTTAGGATGATAATCAGTCTGCAAAATAGTATATTAGCAATAGGGTCCTGTATGCCAAGATAATAAGGGAGCCATACAGTATAGAACCTGTCACCTCGAACCAAAGCAACCGCATCTGAGAGAATTGCTCGAGAGAGCGTATACGTAGGGCAGATTCCTGCACCGGGAATCATTGGAATCTTAGGTTCCTCGGCAACAATTCCAGGGTACAGTTCAACATGGTCAGGGTGCTCGTACAAATGCCGAAGCTGATCGGCGATGTATGGGTCAGAGTTGATTTCTTCGAAAGTTGTATATTCTTTCAGTCCAAAAAACTTCCGGAATTCGTTCAGTGAGCCGCATCCCCATTTGCGAGCCTGTTGCATCCCAAGGATCTCCACTGCCCGAAGAGCCTTAGGAACATTCCGCGGGCCGAAAGATCCTATACCATATTTGTAAGTGGGCCGCAGATCTATACCAGAAAACAAATAATGTATGCATACCTGCAATCTGCTCAATGCTTTCTGTCATAATTTTAACAAGGTCATCATCATTGAATCGACCATCGGGTTTGCGTTCCAGACCCGCAAACGATCTCTGGGCCGGATCCTTTGGCAATTCCATCTGCCACTTCTTCATACCCATTAAAAGATCGGGCATTGTTATAGTTTCTGCTGATTTCCCAAACAGCTCCTGATATATGTCTTCGGTCCACCTCTCGTCTTGCTGACCAATACAGGAGTGCCAGCGATATGCCAGATTAAACTCAACGGAGCATTGGTTGCCCACACCGCTGGACGCAGCTTCTGGGGTCGCGTTGGTACGCATATTTACTCGAGGGTCCTTCAAGGGTTAGCATCTAGGCGCCAACGGTTGCATTAGGACATACCAAGCACCAGGTGGTGTTACTGCGGGTCAGATTGATGATCGTGCGCACATAATCATACAATGTAATGTTGATATAAAGGCCGCAGGTAACCCTGTTTACTGTAAATAGGTAAACAAGTCAATAGGGGCGGAATGCACTCTTACAATCGGGCTGTCTGAAAAAGGTCATTATCGTATTTCGCCCAGGCTTTGGCCAATTCTTCGGGGGACAAACCCGGCCTGGGTTTATTAAATCGGCCTCCTTCGTTTATGTGGGCGAGTTGTTCGGCGGCGTAATTGTGGAATCTAAAATTGTTAGCTTTACCACCGCCGGTAGAGAGTTGGAGTAATTTTACCGGTTGAACATGACAAGAATAACACTGCAGGCGGGGGGAAGGGCCAGAAGCCTGGGTTCGGAGAAGCAATCTGGTTTCAATTTTCCATCTTTGAAAGTTCGCATCTGATTTTGCTCTTCCTGGTTATCACCATATAGAGTCGAGAGATCTAGGTAAGAAGACGTCTGCGAAATATTCGGGTTTCGATGGTCGGTTTGGAATAAATCTTCTACATGTCAATTCCATTGTTTTTTGATGGGTCGGAAGGATCCCTTACCGTGAATGATCAAGGATGCCCACCCGAAGAATACGCTAGAAACACCGTTGGGGTGTGGTACGAATTCCTCTCGTGCGAAAAGACTGTCAAATATAAGGCCTGGATCAGGGAGTGCACCCAGCTGAATTGAAGAAGGGATGATTGAGCGGGCATAGGGGGTATTTGCTGCGCCGAGTTTCGGGAACAGAGGATTGTTATTTGATCCATCCGCCGATCTGTACATGTATTCATCGCCGAATGCACTAATTGAACGGATCAGTGATCGAAGTACTATTAAGGCAGAGCTATCAGGGAAGCACATACGGTAGAGATGGATGCGGAAGAGTATCCCACAACTCTTTGACAAAAGCGTTGGTCAGCTGGGTTCTCATTGTTGATTCAGGAGGTAGTCCAGCGACAAGCTAGGCAGTAAATTTAGTTCACGGAATTCAAAATATGTTGGACATTAGTTTTGTTGTTTATGGGGGGAAGTGTTTACGTTAATCACACGCTCCATAATATACGTTTTGTCATCAATCAAGTCTCCAGATCTCTTGCTCTTTCTCACAGCCAGCAACGTCCCCCAGCCTCGCGGGCCCATAGATCTGAGGTCTTTCAACAGCGAGGATTTCGCTTTTGATTTGCGCAAATACGATCCATCTCCGGACTGCGTTGGAAGCGGGCGCCGTGCCGCATGAATCAACTGGGCATATTGTTTAAATGTGCTTTCGACTTCTGGTCGTTTGACACCGCGGTTGCTGTGTTTGGTATTGGGTGTGCTATTTGTTGCAGGTTTACTGCTGGGTGCTGCTCCGTTGGCATGGTGGGCACCATTTGAGGTCCCGTTCGTAGCGGACATGATAGTCGGCTTCAGACCAAGGGGAAACGAGGGCTCAAAGACCAATCTCCTAGTTGAATAACAGAGGTATCAGGAGAGAGTACAAGGGGTATGCTCAATTCTGTCGCGGGGCAGTTTTTCTATGAACGGTGGAGTGCAGCGTCGCGGGTCCAAGGATCTAATATAAAGACGGCCATTTCCACGCATTGGAGGTCGGCTCGCGGGCCCATTCATCGACATTGTAATCCCGTCCATGATTCCAATTCCATCGCTGCCCGTCCTGGAGTGATTGGCAGTGGCAGGCATGGGCGCGCAAGCCACAGGATTGCTGCCAGCAGGCGAGCCAATGGGCATGACGGGCGGCCATGACTTGCCTGACAATAGTGTGCCGTGGCTGCAGGCGGGGCAATCTGCTGCGATAAAGCCAAACCAGCGAGACGAGGAGCTCCAGAGTCTTGATCGCGATGCTGTGGCACAAGAACCAGAGCGAGACCGAGAGGAAACGAGGCCCGGAAGCGATGTCGTGGAGAATTGCCGAATACAGCTAGCCCGGCCACAATGTCAACGTCGCTCAACGTCTTGTCTTCTCGGTCTCTACTCCATCACTCGACGCTCGGTCAATTATCGATTCGCGCAAGTCTGCATCTGGCGTACGATGGCTTCGCTCCAAAAGGTGAAAGCGCCAGCCAATCGGCCAGATAGAAGATTTTCTTCTGGTCCAGCGTCCACGCGAAATACGAGCACTCCAGCGAGCCAGCCAGCCTGGTCTCGCGTCCTTGAATCATTTGATGACCTGCCCAATGAACGTTTGCTTATCACCCCTGGAGGAGTTGACGCTTGTCGCTCTGGCAATGTAGGGGCTTGTCACCGATCATCAGCGAGTGACAAAGCGAATTCCAGACGGGGTCGTCATCAATGGTCCATGGCTAAAAAACGACAACTGGCGCTTTGAAGCTGATGAAATTTGTCGGCCAATTGCCGATCCCGAATTACAAACCTCGTGTCTGATCACATCCTGCAGACTAGCGATTCTAATTCCAACTGGGTTTATGTGCGTTGAAGCCACCGGACGATTGATCTTCATCGAAAGTCTCTCAGAGACGTTTTGTCAACAATGGAGGAAACTTGAAAGCAAGCTGCAGCTCGCCGTGAGAAATGGAAGGACTGACTGTTGAAAATACCTTTCTACTCTTCTCGATGCCGAAGCAAATGATGTTTCGGTAGTTACTAGGCAATCAGACAACTTATTAGGCTCCGCTTAAGGGTTCAATTGAATGTTCGTCGAACTTTTTCATGAACTCCCTCGAGTACCCCGTAGTATGGAGTTCGAAAGAGCCGCTAGGATCGGCATTAGTTAACGGGGTGCCGGCACAATTCCACTCCCAGGCGAGCGAAGCCTCTGGTTAGTGGCCACATTGAAAAATGGGCGTGCGATGTGACTTGTCAATGTTCCACAGTCGCCTTTCGAAAGCTTGAGAATACGGACGATGCGAGCTTACCAACCATCTCGGGGCTGCAGTCCCCGCCCAGCTTTTCCCGAGCCAACTGGAAAGATACCCTCAAAGAAGGATAAATCAGCTAACCCCGCCAGGAGCGTGGGCCGAGAGTGCTATTCTTGCCCATTCTTACCCCCTAATAATCACTCGCTGCTTTGCTGAACGGAATCTCTGTGAGCATTGGCTTCTGCACTGAAACTCTCTTGGACACAGAATCTTGAAAGCCAACCAGCCATGAGCCAAATTTCCGACTACGCACCGTATCTGCCGCCAAAAACATTTGTCCTCTGCTTCGACGGGACGGGAAATAAGTTTTCGGGCACAGAAGCTGACTCCAATGTCCTGAAAATTTTCCGAGTCAGTCCCAAGACCTTGCGGTAGTCAGTTGGGTTGCTGAGACTAATAATGAAAAGCAGATGCTGGATAGAAATAACAGCCGCCATTTCCATTATTATCAGCCTGGGATTGGCACCTATGTTAGCACTGCATCGCTCTCCAACACTGGTCTACTGTCTCGTATCAAAGGGTCGTATATGAAGGCAAAGGACTCTGCCGTTGGTTCCTCATTTGCTGAACATGTAGTGGGTGGTTACCGATTTCTTATGCGATACTATTCCCCTGGCGACGATATATATTTTTTTGGTTTCAGCCGTGGAGCATATACAGCACGCTTCTTAGCTGAGATGCTAGACTACGTGGGTTTACTTACCGCGGGAAACGAAGAATTAGTGCGGTTTGCCTGGAAAACATTTTCCAAGTGGCAGCAGAGAAGTGGCGATAGCGAAGAGCACCGGAAGGAGAAACAGAAATTGTTTCGGTACATGAAAGCATTTCGCGAGACCTTTAGCCGACCTGTTAAGCAGATTCGATTTCTGGGACTCTTCGATACAGTGAACAGCGTTCCCACCTTCGAATCCGCCTGGATGCAAAGGAATAAGTTTCCTTACACTGCAAGAAGTTCCGCAAAAGTCATCCGGCATGCCGTTGGGATCGATGAACGAAGAGCTAAATTTCGGCAAGATTTGATTTCCGAATGCCGACACTGCACTGTGAGCCACTATTCAGCAGCCCAGAAATACAGTCGTTGGAGACATCGAAAGGATAAGAAGAATGGTGCCCGGAAGTTTGCGGGTAATCAACCCAATAACGGCACCCGAAACGGTGAGAAGAGCAAACGTAACAATGGGGATAATGGATGCTGTAATAAGCAGAGACCACAGTCTCCCTCTCGAACGGATAGCTATGAAACTGAGGATCGATATCGCCCGCCAGTAGACCAGAGAGCTTGGAAGGACCATAATGTGCATCTATCCACGCATCGCCCTGGTGACCTAGATTCTGAGATTGCATCCGCACGAAGTGGAATCTCTCAATTATCGTTTCACCACGATTACCAAACAGCGTTCGAGGACGGAGCCCAGGATATTCAGGAAGTGTGGTTCCCAGGTGGCCATGCTGACATTGGTGGGGGATGGGACCTCAGACCTGGCGAAGCATGGCCGCTAAGCCATGCTCCATTGGTTTGGATGGTGCAAGAGGCGCAAAAAGCAGGCCTTCAATTTGATGAACGCAAGCTCCGGCAGTTTAGGTGTGATGGCCCTTACAAAAGCCGCAACCAGATCATGGAGGTCGAGAAGCCTTCCGTGGTTGTGAGCGACGAAAACGGAGCACACCCTTGCATCGAAGACAACGATGATGATAGCCTAGATATGGCCCAGAGAATAGCCGACGAACGATTTCACACAGCACTTTACCTCTCAAGCACGCAAGGGCACCTCCATGACTGCCTCTCGTTTGACGGGAGTTTATCAGCAATCTCGGTTCTAATTTGGAAAGTGATGGAGTATCTTCCGTTCCGTCGAATGGATTTGCAACCCGATGGGAGCTGGAAGCCGATTCGGTGGCCGCTCCCTTGTGGCGAAGTCCGAGATATCCCGAAGGACGCTCATATCCATGTGAGTGCTATCCGTCGAATGAAAGCGGATAAGAACTATCGGCCGGGGAACTTGATTGTGGGAGGTGGCGGACGAGGAGTGAAACGGGCGCCGGAGCATCTGGGCATTGGAGAATGGGTGATTGTTGGAGACCAAGGGCATGTGGTCCGGGAAATTTATGTCAGAAAAGACTCACGAGCGGCGGAGTAGAAAGTGATAACAGGCCCCTCTGGACAGAATTAAGTGACTATGTTGAATACTCCCGGCTCAACTGCGTGGAATTGTTGGCTAACTCTTTATATGAAGATATATTCAGGCATGCACCAATGAACACAAAATAATGGCTTGCACGAAGCTGTTTTACTGCTGTCTTCATGTGGTCATACTTCTTAATTTTTGCCTGTGAACACATCGCATACACTCACTCAAATGCACTTCATCTTCACTCTTCACCATCAGCACACTGGCTCTAAGGAAGCCTTCAACCCCTGTGCCCGACCTCTCCGCACCAAAGGCGGAATGTTCCTGGATATAAGTCATGTCCAAGTTTTTTCATTCTTGAGTATTTTCTTTTATTGAGCTACAAATCGTTGATTGCCAGTCAAACCTTTAAGGGCAAAACACTCTCTTTCAACATTTGTCAATACACTGTTGAGCATCATTTACACTCCTCCAAGTGCAAGATAATACGGTCAACATTCTTTATTATTGATACAATGCCTAGCATATATATTGTTATTATCTACCTGGCAGCTATGGTTAATAGCCACATGCAGCTGGCCCAGCCGTTCCCTATTCGCAGTCCGCTTGATAAACAGTCCACGAACAAAGATTATTCCTACGCAGCACCCTTAAAGCCTGATGGCTCGGACTACCCTTGCAAAGGGTATCATAAAGACGCTTTTCGTGCTACTGCTAAATATCAATCCGGGCAAGATTACAGTATCAAAATCGCCGGTGGTGCTCCTCATGGTGGCGGCTCCTGTCAAATCTCACTTTCACATGACAACGGAGAAACGTTTCGGGTTATCAAGTCAATTATTGGAGGCTGTCCTTTGAAGAAGGAGTATTCGTTTACTGTTCCACGCGACGCACCACCTGGAAACGCATTGTTGGCCTGGACGTGGTTTAACAAGATTGGCAACCGGGAAATGTATATGAATTGCGCACAAGTGACGATTGTTAGTGGGAACAAAAGGGGTCGAGCAGCGACGGCCACTGCTTTCAACAGCTTGCCCAACATCTTTACAGCGAACATAAACGGAGAAGGACGATGTAAAACTAGAGAAGGCGCGGACATTATCTTTCCTGACATAGGGCCAGACGTTGAATATGGGCCAGGAGGTTCAGGAAAGCCCAAAAAAGGGTTCACTTGTGATGATGGCGGCCAGCCCCCTGATGGTGCCCCGGCACTGCCGTCGGACACACCGCAGCCATCTCCAACCTCAGGTTTACAATCGAATAAATCACCCATATCGACTTCTGATTTCCTGGGTTTCGAGAGATCCTCTATGCCTCTTCCAACGAGCACAGGCTTCTCTAAAAGCCCCGCCAACGATACTGGGAATGGAGGCTCTTGCGTCCAGAGGTTTACACCGTCGAGGAACTCCATCAAAACTTTGACGCCATCTTACGTACCGAAGCCAACCTCCTCTGCCAAACTCCCCCCGTTCTTAACCGCAGTAAACTCCAATACCAGCACTGTCATCCCTGCTAGTGTTGGTCCCAGCATGCGCGTGGGTAACCAAACATGTGTTTCAGGCGGCATCCGATGTGATTCGGAAACCTCATTCTCACTATGTGCTGGGGAAAGGGGATACATTTATATGGGTAATGTTGCGGCAGGGACAAAGTGCAGGGGAGGAGTTATCAGTTAACAAGCAATATACTTAACTTGGGGGTTTCTTTGCCCTCTTAGGTCTGAGCGATATGGTCTATGTGTTGTTTATCTATTAACTGATCTAAACCCCTGAACCTGCTGCAACCCATTGGATGTCTGTTGGATTGTGTAGTTAGTTGCATTAGTCAGCTTCTTGAGGATTTGCATTTCTCATTTTTTTTTTTTTTTTGATTTCACCCCTCTCCTATCATATGATCAATTCAACCGCTTTTCAACAGTGAGTCATGTAGTTAGTTACCAGTAGTGTCATATTGTTTTTATGTCCATGTACAGTAGATGCAGAGAAAGCTCACGATGCTCAAGGAGCCCTTCCTTTTGGCAGGCAGATTGCGGGCTGACTCCATTTATATTCTTGGTATACCTTCCTAGGAACAACATATGCATTGAAGAGAGAAAGCGTTACTTCACCTGGTATGAACAAGTAACTATTACTAAAAAGCCATGGAATTGAAATATATCAGGCCTTAAACCTCTCCCGGCCTCGAAAGTATACGGCGATTGTCCGGCTTGGGTATCGCCATATCCAAAAGCATATCTGCTATCTCCAATACCACTTTGCCCATGGCTGTAATCTAAGCCGCTGGACGCTTGCCAAGGATTTGTTTTATACGGGTTTTCTGTGGAGTACGGGTTGCTATGGTTTCCATATACGGAGTTGCCATACGAGTATGGGTCTGAGTAGCCATGCCCATAATGGTTGGGATTGCCGTTGCTGCTGGACCCGTTGAAATTATCAGGCCGCGCTGCTGGTTGTGGTTCAGTAACCTGGCTGGTCTCTGATGAGCTATAACTGCCAACACCACGACCAAAGATTTTGGCGTAACGTGGTGGCTTTTCGATCGAAGGTTGAGGCGAGAGTGGAATAGTCCCGTTGGCATCACCGTCGGCTTGGTTGAAATCAACAACTGTAGTTCGCGGACCGACGTTGCGACGTCGAGGAAACCGGAACATAGACCGGAAACGAGAGGTTCCGTATTTTAAGGGTTTAATGGCGTTGCGATGATGCATATAAAGATGTTGGGCCATAATCGAGATTAGGAACAGGAATCTTGCCACAGTTAGCGTGTTGTAGCAAGAAAAATTGAATCGCAGTCGTAACAACTTACATTCCGATTATTGAAATAGCAAAGACGCCTTTCTGCAATTTGCATGCAGACCGTAAACTGAGCATATGAA